TGTTTGTCAGGCGTAAACTCAGCATGGCGGCAATTTTTATTCCTCTCTTTACACCGATGTCTGTATAATCTGCAGAAATAGGAGCTGTCGTTGATTATAGTCGAGGGGAGAGAAAGGACAGAGCAAATTGACATTTTCAACTTGGAAATTCTGCTGGATAAAAAAAAAAGAAAGCACAATGTGCCTGAGTTTGCGATTATATGAATAGAATTATTCATTCCTCTACGCTGTGAAAAAGTTCTCTGTGGGAGAAATCTACTGCGGCTCAAGTGCAGACAATTGCAGGGGCCAGTTTTGCCTGTGTGGGGAGCTGATTTAAGAGAGTATTATTTGGATTTGAAAACAAGGCCGGGGCCCTGCGATCACACCTCTTATGTGCTGCATGTGGCCTGAATTACAGCGACAGCTTCCTTCCTAAATTCAAATCAAATAGTTGGTTCAGCTTAGAACTAGGTCGCTTGCTATACATGACAGGCGGGGGGGAGGTAGTGAAAGTTAGTTTGTGTATGTGGGTGTTTTTGAGTGTATAATGTGAGTGAGATCCTGGGAAGAAAATAAACTGCTGTGAAGATGGAGCAAATGCAAAATAGGAGATGGGATGAAAAATCAAGCAAAGACTGGAGAGGAACTGAGTCGATTGAGTGCAGAATGAGCGACTCTGAAGCTACAAGTCATTGGCCACCCCTCCCCTTCACGGCTGCCCCCCCCCCTCCAAGTCCCCCTCCTCAACCTCTGAAACATCTGGCTCTAAAGCAGCCCAATAAAAGATCCACTGGGAAGAGAGGAGTGAGCGAGGGAAAAGGTGTGAGAGAATGTGTGAAGGAGAGATAAGATAGCGCGCTGAGATGCAGCGATACGGAGGCGGCGGGAAAAAGACAGTGAGACTGTGTAAGAGAGTGCTCGGGGGCTGTCATAACTGCAGAACTGGGGCCCCCCTTCAAATGACATCCTCCGCCAAATCATATTTCACACGTGGCTACAAAGGCCACACCACATTTAGAGCACTCCATTGCCCGCAGGGACAGCGACGGCACTCTGGGTTCTGATTCACTCTTCTTACCAAAAATTGACCGCTTGCTAACCGTGTGTCTACATTTACAGTGTGTAATAAAAGATATTGTCAAGCTACAAGGGCCTTTTTTACATGTGGGAGCTGTTACAAATTCAAAAAGAAGTCCATTTGCATGTATATAAAAGGTTATGGAACAGGGATTAAAGTCAGAACAGTCAATGTTATACATGCTGTGGGGACAAATCAAGTGGAATTTCCATTTTCTTAGAACACATTGTGCTGTAGTCTGGAACAGACCTGTTTCATCACACTGTCACAAGGCTGATAGAAAGTGAAAGTTGCATATTAGCTACGGTCAATAAGGTCACCAAAAGTGCCTTTAGCTGTATCTTTGGAGTTGATGTTTCTCACCTCTTAGGAGTCTGGGTCAGGCCTGAAAAATCATGGTCCGCAAACCATATCGTAGAAATTTTGGCATCGTAGGCAGGTGCTAAATCAGCATCGTCATAAAGCTTGTGAGCATATGGGAGTATCTAATGATCAAAAATCTACTAAGAGATGACTACGGATTTGATAAAACACTTCTAAAACCAGAAGATGACATGGAACCTGAAATAATCACAGACTGTAAAAACAACTCTCTGTTCTCCAAACAGTCAATGTGATATCACAGAGGTAAATATCACTGCACGGTACAATAAAACGGCCACTTTATCATCCAGTAAGAGCAAATGTCATGTACATTAAGTGAGTCAGCTTACTGCGCTGACATCCATGAAGTCTTTTTGTCTCAGACTCTTCTTCAACACTACATGATGGCCGGTAAAAATGACACAAACTTATAAGTAACAGAAACACAGTCCTCCTTGTAAAAAACATGGAGGTGATGTTAGTGGCTAGACTGTGCGGCTGACAGAATGACAGCTATTTCTGACAGCTACCTGTCATGCAGGTGGAGTGTCACACTCGAGTCACAGTGTGATCACTGTCATTTGCAATGCTGAGCAGGTTTATGTAAGGTTTTAAAGGTAAACCTAGCAAGTTGCTGCAAAAACACCGACTGACGTGAGGCGACTGGTTCAATAATCTTTCCAAGAAAACAACTGCCACAGAAAATATACAATAATAATGATGATGAGTCCAGTTCAGCTTCAAAGCAGTGGATAAAAAGATGACAGTATGTATGAAACTGCAGTATGTATGTGACATCTAGTCACTTTTTCCCCAATTGCATCACATGCCTGAAAATCCTTGAAATCCAACAGGCAGGAAGCAACAGATTTCATTTGCATTGGTGCTCTGCGCCTCAACAATCCCTGCTCCCAAAGTAGGTCAGCGCGAATCGTCGCCTCCGAAAATAATAACCAAAGGTGAGCCCCCTCGCTCTCTCAGGGGTGAACGCACCGCTTTCGTGCGACTCAAATGCCGCCACTACGAAATGTGCCCTATCAGCACTCCCCAAATCTGCAGGCATTATACTGGGGCATATTAACCCACAATATTGCATTCAGTATGCGAAAGGCGCTCAGCAGCCATTGTTAAATTTTAACAAGACAATAGCGGATCCACACACACATTGTAAATATGCAGAGTTTTGTTAGAAGGCACTGGAGTTGAAATTGTAATGATGTTAGTGTGTGACGGGGGGCTGCAGCGAAGACTGAGTGTGCAGCTATAGCCTCATCCTTTTTCATCAGTGTGTTTTCCCAACCTGAAAAGTGAGTTTGAAAACACAGTCTATTCCTTTGGGGGTGTGTAGCTTTGAGCAAAGTGCACTTCATCTACAAGAGTAAGTCAGGGCACTGTATATCACCACAGCGCAGGCACACTGTCCTGACACACAAACACACACAATTACACCACACTTTGTCCTCCCTCTCTCCCAGATCCACAGACATACACCATGCCCTTCCTCCTTTTCGCCTCCAATTCTCTCTCTCTAACACTCACATGCCCTCTGTCAGTATTTGAACAGTACATGCAATGTCCAGAGAGACCAAGCTTCATGCACAGTTAATGTCTCCGCTGTCTAGATGATTAACGTTACCCGATTCACATTCCCAAACGTTGCCCGAATTCCACCCTCCTCCCGCCTCACCTTCTGCGTTGAGCTCACTCTTGGGCTTCAGGTAAAAATAGCTGCTCCACCTTGTTTCTCTGCCGTCACACAGCCTGCTGGGCCTCCAGTGGGACGTCAGACCTGGGAGAGATTATTTGATGAGTGAAATGCACACATGTATCATAAAATGCATTACAGGATGCACTGGAGGATTTTGCTTGGCAGTTAAACACTAGATTTACAAGTTTTCACAACACTGCAATCCTTAAGTATTAAATGAGCAATTTTGGTGCATGAGTACACATATTATATCAAATGAGTTGATTCTAACAGGGATCAATATTTATTCCCACGTTATCAGCAGATGGATTTTCACGCAATACTACCCACCTGGATACATGACAGGAACAATAAGTTAAGTTTAACGTTTAGTTAAGGCATACTGGAGGCACAGAGAATCACAATACAAACCACAGACAACATTAAAAGTTCCTATTTTCCAAACACCACCTGTGAGCGAACTCGCGTGAAACTCGGGTGTCGCGAGAACTGACGACATTACGGTAACCTGTGCGCCGTACTCCTACACTCCATTTCTTTCCTTTTCTCGTCAATAGCAAAATAATGGCGCTTTATACTCACAGCTGGAGAATAAGATGTTCACGTTGCTTACGAGCAACTTGTCACCTGTTGTTAGACAGTCTAAAAACTTCTATAATCTATACGCCTGAAAGTTGTCCCGCAAAACAAGGAAACAGAGCCTCACCAAGCAGCCAATCGGAGAGCACGCAGAAAGTCTACGTCATCATCAGTCAGGCACTGTCGCCTAGTAACGGTTTAAAAAGGTAAAATGAAATTTAAAAATAACGGTTAAAATGTTTTATTTATTTATTTATTATTTTTTATGCGCGGAAATGAAATGTGATATCATTTGTGATAATGGGAAATAAGGACTATTTTATTTAAAGTTATTTAATATTCAATAGTATTGGATTTTACCAACTTCACAGCTTTTTTAGTCTTATTTTTCATTTATCTTTTTTTTACAGGCTATAAAACTTTACTTAATCTCGATAAATGTAGATCTTTCTCTGGGTGAAGTTTTTTTTTAAATCTAATCTAATCTGTCTAATTTTGGACACTTTTACATTTATATGAAGGCATGTAAACCATACTGTGACACCATTAACTTGAAATGTGTGCATTTGGTGCTCTGTTTAAGAATTTCACTGAGATAAACTGTACATTTTAATCTCAAGTTGTTATCTCTGTTTATTTGTCTAATTATTGAAAGAGTTTCGCTTTGATGCGTTGGAAAATCGTGTTTTATGAAACTCTCCTGTCACTGCTTGTCAGATTCTCAGTTGGATCTGCAGTACAGGCACGCATAATGGATAACAGAGCTTTAACTTTCAACAGAAAGTTCCCAAAATTTGACATGCAATAAGAACATTTAAGACATCTTTTTAACGTATAAGCCTAAAGCACCTGATAAGGTGATCTGTATCAATGCATGTTTCTTAGAGTTTGTTAAAAAACCACTCTGCCCCCCAGTTGTCACAGATCGCTTAATACAACTTCAAGTAACTCAGGCAGAATACACCTTTGACAACTGATGCAACGCAGCTTTGGGAACGCTCCCAGAATCCGTGGTTGCCATGTCAGTGAGAGAACTGGATGTGAAGTTGTTGCCTGTGGCCAGAATGCACACATTAGAAGAGATGGAAAGCTCTCCAGCATGCCATATCTCTTTATGTAATGCAATAGCATCTGCTGAAGGCGTTGACATAATCCCAAAACTGAGCCATCCGGTCGGCATGCCAAAGAGTCTGCAGACAAGAGATCTATAACAGGAGTCTGCACTGAGCAGGAGGACGAGCAAAGATAGGAGGACTACTATGTCTGTATTAAGGACATTTGATGATGACTGCTTCTGAATTTGGGGGTAGTTTGGAACAATAGTTGGAACAATAGTTGGAAATTTGTCCAGACAAGTCTTAACTCAATTCATGACAAAAACAAAAAAGTGTTATTCACAGCAAAGCCTTAACCACCCTGAAATACTACACCTAGATCTGATTTTTTCTCTTCTTCTTACTCCCCAGTTACAGATTGAGTGCACATTAATTCAACAGCAAACATGAAGAGAGTTTTATCAAAACTAAATCAAAACTTCTAATTGAACCAGACAGTAAAAATCAAGAAAATAGACAATTCAAAACAGATAAAGTAACAAGAGATTTGATTAAGGGGCAAGAAGAATCACAACGATGAGCTGAATTCTGCCTCACATCATCTCTCAATTAGAAACACCAGACTTACCTAAAAGACCGGATCATGTTGGGGCTTCCCGCTCTGATATAATGTATAATATAAGATATACGTCATTCTTGTGGATATTAGCAAGTTAAATGTGAAATAACGAAGGGAACAGCTTTATTTACATGAGTGGAAGTTTGATTTTGAACTTCTTCTGTGCAGCACTACACAGTGTGTCCTATCAGCTGTGTGCTGTGTGCTTGTGGGCATGTTGCCACTCTCCAATCAACGTTGATTGAGTCCAGGTGCAAGTTTGTCCTTCCAAGTGCTACAGAGCTGAATCGATACCAATTCCCTCGCCAGATTTGTTCATGCTCGAGACAAAACTCTTGAATTACAGTGCGCCCCATTTTTTTCTTTTCTCTCCCTTTTTTTTTTAAACATCCAAATGGTGTCAAATTCACATGCTGGTATGCTGCGTTCACATGTCTGTTCTGTATGCTGTGTGTCCTGTGTTGTCCTCTAAAAGTGAATGTTCAGTCCTGATGTCCATGTATCGTGTATCAGCATGTGCCCGGCTGCATTGCTGTCACCCAGAAACAGACCTGTGTGTGGTTATACTTGGTGGAGTGAGTGACTATGATGCCATGAAATGGGCTTCTTAGAAAAAGCATGTGACTACACATACTCATGAAAAGTTCTTTTAATACACTAAATACAAATCACTCAGAGCCATAAGAATGCTGCCAATGTACTGCAGCTTTTCCCACACTGACAGCAGCTGCAGCCCCACTCAGCGGAGTACAACACCTCACCTTACATGACACTGTTAGAAAAAAGCATTCACAAAATGTGAAGACTTCCCACAAACTTCCCTTTGTCCTACAACTTATTGCCCTGTCTCTCCTTAACAAGAAGCAGGCGTGCTTGAATGGAAGAACGCTTCCGTCCTTCACACTGTCTGATTTGCTTAGGAAAGGCGCTCACGTCTAATACTAATCTGAACGACAGCAGTGGAAATCTTGGCTCACTTTCAGGGGCTAGATTGGGCCTGGCCCAATGACCTTCTCTGGGAGAACATGGAAAGTTTGCCGGCTCAATATGTCACAGCCAGCATGAGCTTAGAAAGAGAACAAGAAAAGAGTGATTAAATGGGTTAGATCCGTGGCTGGCTTTTGTAGATGTCAGGAGGAGTACAGCTCCAGTTGTACTATGAGATTATCGAAAATTGTATCAGGCTGGGACTCTCATCATGGATGCATTAAACTTTAGATGGCAGTGGATCTTAAAAAAAATGATACTAAAGACATTTTCTGAAACAAAAGGTAGTCCATTTCTGATGTGGAGTTGATTCTGCATTGTTTCTGCTTTTCACTGTGAATGCAACAGGTCTTAAACCTCTATAGTGATCAGTAAATCCAGAGTAACATTCTCACATTCTCTGTTAGACGCCTAACTAAAGAAATTCCCCATCAGGCCTCCTGCTGGATAAGAGCACATCCCATCCACTGACACAAACAACTGATAATTCATAAATTGCACTTTTCGTAAGGCATAATTATAGCAACTGAAGTAAGTTTAAAGCAAATTAGCCTCGCAGGAAGTTGAAACAAAGTGTTAAAACGGGGTTAATTGAATTGTAAGCCTTGTCACAGAAGATTACCAAGTCCAAGAAACACCACTTTAATTGCGTTATTACCATGTGGATTAAGGCATGGAGTATTTTTTCCCAGTAATTATAGCTTGACTGTCTGTGCATTTTAATACACTCCAGTGTGGACATTTTGGGCTGAGATTTTTGACAGTCCAAACAGAGGGAGGCTCCATTACAAAACATATCTGTTAGGCTTGTGGATAGCACTGGCGTTTGAGCTGGAAGGGTGCGCACAAAATAAGGATTAAAAGGATACATGGTGATAATGAGTTATTAATTTGACGGGACATCGCTTTGATTTCATGCTGTTTGTGTATCAGCGGAGGGAATCAGAGGCGTTTAAAATCAAAGGGAGTCAGCCCACTGTTGTTGTTTTATCTGTTTCCTGGTTGTAGGTCGCTGTCAAAACTTGTTCCACTTTAGCAACACTGAAAGTATTTAAAAATGAACACCAGTGGCAGGTCTTTATAGATGACAGTGTGAGCTGGTCACTGTCAGCTCTCTGCTTTGGTGTACACGTGAACACCTCCATGTCTGCTGGTTGAATTTCTATGAAATCTTGGTACTTATATTCATGGCTCCCAGAGGTTTTAGGGGATCTACTGACCTTTACGCTTTCCTGTAGCGCTCCCGAAGTTTTGTGTTACTTTATGAAGCTGTGACAAACAGTAATGGTTTCTACGAGTTCAAATCAATTCGGCAAATCAATTTTATAATAACACCTATAATGCATCTTGTACTAGCTTATATACTTCCTATCTTGTGACCAACAAACCCACCTCTCTGCACTGTTAATGTTGCTGTGAGTTTTTGAATGGACTGTTTGCAGACAAACTCGAAAGGGTCTCTAAATGGAGAATTCATGTTCAAGCACAGACAACTCTTCTTCAGTTACTATATTGATCTCATGTGGCTACTATCAGCGCTCCATATGTTGGCGATATCACAAGAACAGCTATACAGCAGCCTCTTCGGAGCTGCCGGGAATTCTGTACGCTGCTCAAGGGCACTACAGGGCATATGTTTCCAGACACTCGAATTTGATCAGGGTCCTCTAATTAAGCAGCAGTCCCCCTACTTTCTCCTACTTCTCACATCCATGATTTCAACAGTCAGGGAGCCCAGGACGGTTACAGAATATCATTAGCCTAATGGACGGGAGCGCAGGATGGCTGGGATGAATGATTGCATTACTGAGCCATTTGCCGCAGACTGTACATTGACATAAATAGTGCAAACAAACAATAACTGTCCACGTGCCCATTCTACTGTATTGTGATGGCTTGCTGTGTGATACATGGGTTCAAGCTGGGGTCTGGGAGAGAGGGAGAGATGCTCTTGCTGGCCCTTGTGTCAGAGTGAGTGGGTTGGGTGGGGGCTAAGTAGCTGGGAACTGGATTTAGACACAACTCCGCGTTTCGACAGGACTACTCTGCAAAAAGTACAAGCAGCAGATAAGAGAGAGAGAGAGAGAGAGACTACATAGAGGGGGAGAGAGCACTCAGCTTTTTCTTTCTTTCCAAGCCATCTCGTCAAGAATGCTTGAATGGAGCCATTATGAAGCCGAGATCCAACTGGTATGGGACAGTTTAAATAGCAAGAATAAAAACTAGATGGCATGCTTTATACTCCTCAAAGCAAATGTTTCCAAACTGGGAGTTAGGAGCTTTTTGAGTGCTTGTGAGCTAAATTTAAAGGAATGTGATATCATTTCTTGGGTAGAATATATGAAAAATTTAGACTCCGCTGTACAAAATTTTACGTATTTGTTTAACTTTGCCAATGATCTTGAGAAGAGAGTCTAGCAAGTTTGATTTTTATGCTTCTCGACTCTCTCTGAGAAGAGGAAAGAAGTCCTCTATTAAACTGTTTCTGCGGGAGAGGTCTCAGGCAAAATAGGACAACACTGACTGAGCAAGAGAAGTATTCATGAGGAGTTTGCATCTGCCTCACTTAAGCCTAAGTGGTTTTTAATTCAGGTCTTGCGCTATTTTGTGAGAAAGATACCTGATATTTTTAATCCGGTCTGTAACAGGCGATAAATAAGCTATTTATTCTTGGAAAATAAGCGTACCTGGCTTATCGTTGTTTTGTACCAGCTAATTACCATAAGTGCTTAAGTCAAGGAAATTAGGCTAATTTTAACTGATGCTCTTCTGTGATTGGAGAGGAAACCAACATGACACCCAACACATTTCTATGTTGTTCTCAAAATCGGCTCATTAGCAACAATACCATAACATCAAACCAATCCGCTTGCACTCACACCAACAGGATAGAAATTCTTGGGCATTTGGAGGACTGTTGCAGCCTAATCATGATGTACTTTGTCTTGTTTTGTCTTAGCTCATCCTGTTTCTTTCATAGTCGAGTGGTTGAAAAAGAAGATGGGCTAACATGTCTGCTATTTTCTCCTGTGATTCAAATCTTTTCAATGGAAATTTGGTTGCCATCTCTACATCAGGTGTGATCTCTTCTGATCTGTTGTTAGTGAAGGTGTTGTCTTCAGGCCCCTTTAGGTGACACTAAGACATCAGCTCAATCGTCTCAATTGAGACCACAAACTCTAGGATAATTGAACATAGCATCAGTGACATTTGTTTCTGAATTTCAAAGCCTATCAGTGGCAATCGCCGTCTTCGTAATACTGATTTAACTAAACTTTTAGTCAACCTACCAGAAACCAGCATTCAGCCTCCTCACAGATGACTAGAGTGTGTCTGCCTCGATTAGCCAGTTTTGTAACCTTGATAACTTCAAAATAAATGTGTGACCAAAAAAATGTACACTCTGTACAGTGGGAACTGTGGGGACTCTGAGCTATTCAAACAAAACTTTTTTTTGAACCAGGCTGTAAATATGTTTATTTCTGCTCTCAAAACGGCCTTTTTTGACTTAGTGTCCACATGGTTTCAGCCTTAAGTAGGCACGAAGGAAACACTATAAGTTTAAACACTTTCACACTGGATTCATTTCTCAGGACTGGGGTTCGCTGCTTGGTTGAGACAGAGGTCATTTCCCCATAAGTTTGTTCATTTGTCACAAAAAATGAACTTGGCGGTGGAGGGCTCCTCTTTTGTGGCTCTTGATCCAGTTTTTAAACACAGACTTTTCCAACTTGTAATTGTTTCTGCAGCTAAGAAAACCAATGATTAAGACACATCCAAAATGACCCTTGTTTCATTCGCCACAAAGGTGCTACAAAGCGTTTTTGCATGATTTCAAGTCATGAGAGTCAAGAAACTAGCAAGCCCAAAACATAATTAAACCAGAATGAATGTAGACAAAACAAGAGGGAGACAACACCCCCTCTGTTCTGATAAAAAAAAAAAACTCCAATCGGATCATAATGCTTCCCATCAGTTTTGTTGATGTTTCTCACATATGAAGTAAAAGGTTGACCATCCCAGTGTCCTTAAAGGCCCGGCATGGCCTGAGGCACAAGACGCATGCTAAGGTGGAAACCTAGCGACATCGCTAATGGATCCAAAGGCTAAACAATGGCCAAATGATTACCTTTGGGATCTTATTCCCATGCTTAACCGTTACCACAGACACCCACATTAACACATCATATTAGATACTTAAAGACTGGAATCTTCTTGGTTTCCCTTTTTTGTTGTCCTAATTAATACGCCACATCTTGGGCACACTTGAGGTAATTAACATTGTTTTTTGCCAGCAACACACAGCAGATGGTGATTGAAAATAGAGGGATGAGTCGCTCAATCAACCACCATTTGTCTGTGGCCATTAATTATCTAGCGAAGAATACATTCAGTCCCCAAAGTTGATAGTTTGGGGGGGAAGAAGAATACTGTCCTTCTGTTCCTCATTACTCTTTAACAGCAGAAAGTGCTGAAACTAGAATGCCGAATGGGGAGACTGCAATTTTAATAGCAAAGTCATTATCTCCTCCCATAAGGTGGCATACGATGGAAGGCTTGTCGAGGAAAAGAACAACAAAGGCGTTTCAATAAATGGGAGCCAAGCAACATCTAGTGGTTTAATCTGTTGATTCATCAAAAGACACTTTCACAGACGATGGGAACAAAATGCTCGGTTTCATTCAAGAAGATAGGCCTGCAGGAGATGCATCTTTTTCTCATGATCTGATGTGAGCCAAGGGGTCATGTGACCACAAATCAAGACCACCACAGGCGGCGTTGGCTTAACCAATCATCCCGCGTTTGCACATCATGCAATCTGATCAGGAAAGGCAGCTTCTTGCCTGCAGCCGACGCCGTCATGATATCATGATGTTTCAAGATTTGTCTTCCTCTGCTGCATTTGGCCATGTCTTGTTGATTTTGTTTCGCTCGAACATGCTGGGAGTGTCAGATTCTGCCTGGCAACGGATTACTTAGCTCTGAAATATAAAATCTAAAGTCTACAAGAGGGTGAAAGGGGAGACACTGCAGGGGCGCTTAATCTGAGGCATTTGGTAGTCTAATTTTTAATCTCTCCTGCCATGTATCCAGAAATAATCAGTGTTAACTTTAATTATAGTGATCGAAACAAAGAAAACTGCTGTAGCTTCAATGTCTCCATTGATCTATTAGTGAAATTTGTACTCCTGATGTAGCTCCTGCCAGGTCGTCAATTAAAGAAAAGGGTTCTTGATGGCAAATTACTGGTTGGATCGCTCATGTTCCACCCCACAGGCTTTAATTAACTAGTCTCAGGTAGTCTAATCTTATTATCCAAGAGTGCCTGTTTCCACTCACTAACTTGCTTACATGAAAAGGGTGAAATCCTCATAAGAGAGCTGCCACATGGCAGAGTTTAAAGCCTGGTCACCAAATGTAAGCTTGCTTGCCACATATCCGGAAACAAAGACCAAATTGCAAGTGCCATTTTCAGGATTTTTCAACAGCATCTGACACAGCAGCTGCAGCTCCATGCCAAATAAAATACCGAGCTACACAACTCAGCGGAAAACATCCCAGTGTTTGTCCCACAGAGAGCCGCAGCCCCATCAAACCCCATTATCTCCAAGGCTACCACTTACCTCCAACTGGAGTGGAGATAGCTGCTTATCTAGTGGTTAATAATAAAAAAGACACATAACAGATAAAAAAGCCATCCTATCATGATGGAAAGAGAGAGGTGAGAGAGAGAGAGGGAGGGAAAAAGGCGACAGGGAGTGAGGGGGAGATTTCCAGGGACAGTTTCATTCTGTGGAAAGGGCAAGCAGAAGGAGACCTCCCGCTGTAATGCGGCAGCCGAGCCGAAATGAAAGCCGGCCGGCTCTCTTCTCCGGGGCTAAACAGCGGCCTTAATAAAAAACACAATCAGACCCCCAACCTTAAAGTTTAATGCACATTCTTCCCATATTTCTCTTAAAAAAAGGACATGGTAGAAGCCCCCGGTGTGATCCCAGCTCCTCGGTGAAGATGTGTGTGCGTGTTGAAGAAAGAGAAGGAGAGAGGAGGGGGTGCTGGTGGAGCCATAATGAAGCCCTATCGAATATCAAGCGCACCATCAACTTACTATAGCTCTCTCTATCGTGTTAATGAAATTGTTCCCCCCAACTTTTTAATTAACTCGCAGACGCATGGTGTGGAGTCAAGTTGTGGACACAGACAAAGACTACAGTGTTCTCTCCCAGGTGATATGAATATCAAAGAGGGAAGTTGCTCTGAATTAAGCTGAGATTCTTTATTAGGGGGGAAACTTCAGAGGGAGACAGATGTGCTGAGGATGGCCTTGTGTCACTTCAGTCAGCTTTCATTCAACACTTTGATTTATAGGCGCAGGAGAGGAGGGAGAGGAGGGGAAGGGGGATTTATTTGGGGATCAATGTTTGCAGTGTGCATTGTTTTTAAATCTCCCTCTTAAAAAACATTCAAGGGTGTCTCCTCGATAGCAATCAGACAAATCATAATCATCCCTCAGCGCCGACTCAAAGTGGTACAGCAGTGCTTGATGATGGGACATTCATCACAGGAAGAAAGGAAGATAATAGGGAAAGAAAGAGGGGCTTTTTTTCAAACACATTTCCCTTTATTGGCATGGTGAGGCTGATGAGAATTGCACATAAAAAATAAAATTCACAAGAAAGTCGTACAATAGGTAGAACCACAAAGGCATTGGTAAGGACTTGGCAGAAGGCAACGTGGATAGGACACAAACAGGTAACAACCCACAGCGACCCCCCCTTCCCCATTCCCCCCCCCATCCACACATACACACGCACATTTTCAGAAAGACTCACACACACAGACACACTTCCCTAAAACCACACACATACATTCAAACATACAGAATGTCCTTCCAAAAGAAACATGATTACCCAACAAAGCAGTGGCAAAGTCCTCCATGGTAGGTCACATTATTAAAAAGTCTGCCACAGTTGAAATTTGAACCAGAAGGTGTTATAATATATTGCTACTCTAGGCAATTTACAAAGCATTTTTTTATTACAATGATTAAAGCCACATCTATCAAATGGGACACGACACCATTACCCAAACGCTATACAGACAGCAAAAAAAAGTCAAACAATGTCTTCATAAAACACAGGTAAAGGGTTTTTTCATCCTTCCCTCGACCAATTTTTGTCTCTTTGCATCATAAAAATTAGCCGTTTTCTTGTCAACTCCATGAAAGGAAGCCTGTGATCAGCAAAAGCTTTCATACAAAAGGTTTTTTTTCCTCTTCCTGTGATGGAAGCCGGTTCTCTCATTACTTGGCGCGCACGAGAAACGGGATATTAATTGAACCAGAAACTGCAAGGTTACCTTTTATGTCATGTCGGCAGCAGCGGCGGCAGCTGCGGCTGTGATATCTGGACTGTGAGTATGTGTGCGTGAGTGAGTGTGTGTGTGTGTGTTCTCGTGTATGTGTGTGTGTTGAGTGGAGTGAAGAGGGGATGGAAGAGTGGTGCGGCATGCGACACATCGTTGAGTAGTTTTCTCTAGGCTTATAGAACGTCATTTAAAATCTGCCAGTTAAGACAGCTGAGAGGCAGATATCCAAAGTGGAATACACGTCACCCACTGTCATCCTGGAATAGCCATGCACTACACAACACACAAATTCAACTGGACACGTTTTTTAACACACAGGGTGGAGTTCAGAGTCACGTATTTGCACAGATGTCACAAGGTAATGCGTGCATTACAATCACATAGACTCAATTACATCTTAAAGGGAAGACCAGGAAGTGAGAGCAAGGACAATCAAGTTTTTTTTTCTTTTTGTTACCGCACATGATGATGATGTCACGGTGATGTAATGCCAACATACTTGGAATGGAGTCATCCTAGCTAGCTAGCAGCGGCTGGGTAATGGGTCAAGTCCAAGAATCACACAACAATAGGAGCTAAAATACAACTCTGAAAAATAATTTATTGCTTTTTATATAGTTTTTTTTCTTCATTATATTATTATCATTATTGTTATTAATCATCTTGAATTATTGTGAATAATATTAGTAGTATCATCATTGTATATATATATTTATATTGTACATCAAATACAAGATCTTTAAAAAAGTCAGGAAAAGGAAATTGTAAACTTCTTGTTTGGCATTCACATAATCAAGCGTGAGTGGAGCGATGACGACAAGTGCGATATTGAAAAAAAAAAAATCACCTGTGAAATCATTTTATTGCTTCATGTTCTGTGTGGAAAGAAAACCAGATGTGACTGAGAGTAGAGACAGAAAAATGGCGAGGGGCTGGAGTGATGAGCTGAATGTTTTGATTGTTTTGGAAAGGCATAGAAGGTAATATTATTAACCCCACTGAAGCGTTTATTGTACACCCTGTCTAGTGATTGAAAGTTAAATAACACAAATCGAATGACAACATGAACAGAAAAATAAAATCTCATGAGGTACACCATGTTCAATGGAGCCCATAAATAGTCTTGATTCAAATATTAAAATAAATAGATAAATAGGTGTTCGTACTGATTGAAAAGATTTGAATGCAGTGTTCTCCTTCGGTAATCATACAAAGCAATAAAATCAGGCTGAGTTGATATATATGAAGATATAGACACATATCTGCATATATATACTGATTGCTTCAGAAATAATTAATAAAAAATGGGGTACCTTTTTTTTTACAATCATGAAAAACACGTTAAAAATGCATTTTACACTGGTTGTATAAGCAAAAACACTGATTGAGAAAAACTTTATAAACAGATAAAACTATACATGGTTGACTTTTTTTTTTTTTTACCAACAAAATAACTTAAAAAAAGACGTTTGTTCACATGCTCCCTCAAAATGAGCAATCAGACGCATCTTTTTTCTTTTTTTTTTACAATCATGTCATGTCTTCTAAACATCATGTAGGTGTACAATATGTTTTACAGTATTGTAATTACTACAGATCGACATTCTGAATTAAGAAATTTTCTCTTCATTTTAAAAAAAGGCTGCATTTTACAGTGCATAGCTGTAACAAATAAAGAACTTTATCCGATATGTACATAAAATAAAAATATTCCTTTTTATAGTATTTGTAAATACACGCTACATTTCTCCTAAAAATGTAGACAACATTGTTACCTTGAGAATTTTACCTCCAAGATACAATTCCCTTTACTCTGGTTTGTAATGTAACACTAGATCCAAACACCAGATTTCAAAGAAAAAAAGAAGAATCAAAACAGCAAAAGAAGAGAAATCTGGCTGAACAAGCTGCATGTTTTCACTCCCAAAGAACTGTGGGTATTGTAGTGCTTGGAGAAAAAAAATCAAGAAGTTTTTCCTTTCTTCTTTCACTTCACGGTTGTACAGCAGTAGAGTGCACCAAACCTGTGCACCAGGCTCTGAGGGTTCACTGGCTTTTCCCACAATGCATTGTCTCTTCCCATCTCTCCAGCAGCTATGTTCATGTAAACTTCATTTTTGATATATTCATTTATATTGATATAGGTCTATAGACGTATTCTTCTATACTCTATGACATAGAGTGTAAAACTTGTGGTAGTCTCGTCGTCGAAGGAGCGAGAAACAAACAATGAGGTATCAGAAGTCCCTCTTTGTGACAGACAGCAGGTGCCGCTGAACTGGTTACCTTCTCAGGCTGCGCTGGGCCTCCCTCAGCAAGCTGTCGAAATCCATGGAGTCATACTTGCTTTTTGTGGAGGCTGGATCAAAGTCGTCCGAATGGGAGTCTGAAAGAGACAACAAAGGATTGTTTCGGTGGCGGTTTCTTTGAAAATGCAGATGAAACAAGAGGGTTCACCTTTATACTCTCAAAAAAAAAACAGAATGATTGCGAGCTCACAGAATATTCTGTCTTTACATCATGATTGCGCAGTCAAATGTGACTCAGTTTTTACCTGAAAGTTGGAGCGCAAAAGTCTACCTAACTGAAGAGGTAAAATTCATGGATTAGATGCTCAATGATGTAGTTATTGAGCCCAATAAATGTTTTTTATTTAAACAATTTTAAGTACCATGTGCTACACTTAGCCTAAATGTTCAAAAAACTACCAGCTGTCTGCACCAGTATAGCTCAAACAGTTACTTTCCGTATTAAAAGACCTGCTTCTGACAAGACAAGAAGACAGTGATTTTGGACTAGGGTGGCCAACTGAGCTTTAGGGGCCCATGCCACCTCTTGCCACTCCTTTTGACACACCCCTGCATCCACAACCCAATGTAACATTTCACTTAGTCTGGTGTGTTGTTTCCTGTGTAAAAAAAGTTTTCTTTTTTTTTTCCTTTTTCCATGTAAACAAGAGTCATAAAAACATATCCCTCTGTTGGTGAGTCTCTCATATGTCCTATTTTTCTGATCAGCTGATAAAACATAAAGAGCGTCTTATCTCTCCCAACAGACAGCTTCACAAATGGGGCCCCCAACAGGCCCAGCAGCACACCGCCACAGCTTTGAGAAATGGGAGTGACCGTGGCAGCTGGAAGACGTCAGTCGTGATCTAATGCAGTGGCCACGGGCTGGATTGTGTCTCACTGCGCACCTTGAGGGATGAAAAATACCCCGGTGCTCTACTTTAAACTAATGGACACTGTCTCCAAAAACAAAAAAAAAAGAAGCAAAGACGGGGGTAGAGAAGGGGAAGGGAGGTTTGGATACCACACTATTCCCTCTCAATCTCTTTATCCTGTGCTATCAGCGTGGGACGACCAAAATAGCCCACTCCTGACAAAGAGGCGGTCGAATGAAGGCCCTTTCCATTTCAGTGGACTGATTAGTCAATCTCAACATAATGTCTGTCCTCAAGGCTTTCGGATTAGCAACTGTTTCTGTGTGTGTCAATTTCTCATCATGTCCTTTCTTTAAAAGCTAATGGCTTAGAGCGTGTGCTTTGGAAATGTATAGTAACCGCTTCTTTTATGGGAGAAAGTGCTTTTTTTTCTCTCTGGCTGACCTGCTGACCTTCTTGTCGAGGTGTTTCATTCACTCTTGACCTTACTTTTTTGTTAATAAATAAATGCTGAGGCTTTTTTTCTTCTTATGCCTCACTTTTTAAGTGGAAGTGACGATTTTTGTTCAAGGTAATGTCACATCTTTGGCTTTAGCCTCGATGTGGAAACATACTGACGCCAACAGGAGAGAATCAAAGAGGCTTTTTTCTCCACATGTCAGAAGTGGGGCATCTTGCCAGAGGAAAAAAGCCTGGATTTCATTGATATCCTGCATTATTTATCATATGCGTCATTCGACCCTCAGCTACATCCATTTGTGTGCAGAATCCTGCCTGTGATATACGTTTCTGATCAATATGGGAGCTATGTACGTACATGCATGTTTACTCAGAGGAATCGCTTATGTTGGATGATTTCTGCTACACTGCAGTCTGCCTCCACCCTCATAGGTAGCAGGTATCTATAAGCGAATGCGCTTTACCGTGGCCCCTCCCTCTATGTAAATGAGCTGCAACAGCTGGCAACAGATGGGCGCTCACTCTGGAGGAAGAGAGGGGATGGCTGGGACTTAACCTTGCTCCCACCTTCTTCTTCTTCCTCACCTCATCTCTTTCTCTTTACTTTCTTGTAATTTCATCCTTTTCTCCTCTCCTATGAAGTGATTCACACACCCACATGTGCTGTACATCCAGAAGCAGATAGAAACACATTTTGCGCATGCTATCTTTAAGCTGAATGTGTTAAGTTTTGTACAGACAAAGTAGAAACAAGCATACAGTGTCCAGAAACATGCAGCCGATTTTGTTTTCCGACGAGCAGGGAGGGAATGCAGCTTTATTCTTGTGACCTTTGAACTTTCTGTGCCCTTTTCAGTCTAAAATGCCTGTTGGACAAATTCAGCGTTGAAAGAAGCCAAAGATGCTTCTCTTTTGATCTGAATGCATCACTCCTGCATGTTTTCCTGAGCTGATTTCCCTCCATTTTTTATCCTCTTTTCACTGGCGCTTCTTTTGGAGAACGCAAAACACGCTGTATGACTGCAGGGCGGAGGTGATGGAGAGGAAAAAAAACGAGAAAAAACAAGAAAAAGCTGCACTTACCCAAGTCTGTGTAATGTGATTTGCAGAACTGCTTTTGCCCGCCAAAGCACAGCTCGAACTGAGGCTCGCTTGACCTGCGTAAGGTGTGTCCGTTCTCAAGGGCGGCAAAGGCGTCACAAGTGTAGCGGTACGTGATGAAGCCAAAATTGTCCCTGGTCAGGAATAGAAAATACGTCAGAGTGATGCTGCGGGGCGCAACAAACAATAAGCGAACACAGAGGGGCCCTGTCTTAGATGGCGATCACGCTATTTATATGCAAAGGAGAATCAATAAAAGTGTATCTTTGGGGCGGCGTAGATGGATCAGGAGATGCTCTTAGACTGCACAAGCTCTGTCTTTGTTTAAGACCTTCAACACTTTTCTTTTTTCTTTTTTTTTCTGCGCTCAACAGTTACAGAGACTTTCTTTACCCCTCAAACAATCATGCAGATACAAACAAAGGGGAGAAAAACTTTGTCTTGGGGGTTTACTCACCCATCGTCCCTCAAGTTCACTGCACATTCTTCAATCTCGCCGAAGACTTCAAAGCGGCGCTTCAACTCGGTCCGGGTGCAGTCGGACCTCAGTCGCCCCACGTACACCACCCGTCTCTCCTCCTGCTCGTTAAAGAGGAAAGACAGAAGGAGATTAAAAGGGGGGAGCCTGTTTTTTCCCGTTTCCCTCTCTTACTTTCTTCACCCAGCCTTAATAAATTGGTCTTGATCACTCCTGTGGATACTTCAGCTGACTCCGGACCCCCAACCCCCCCTTTCCTTTTTTTATTTTCTTTTTCTTGTCCCCCTTTTCTTTCTGTCTGTCTGTGTTCCCCTGTGATTGGTTCAACTTGCTTTCCTGTTATCTGATAGAGTTGCAGATAGAGCGCCCTCAGTCTGCTTTGGCACCACAATTCCTTTTTTTTTGTCCTCCCTCTCTCTCTGTCTCTCTCTCTTTCTCTCTCTCTCTCTCTCCGCAACTCATCAACCGGAGGCAGAGTGATTTTTATCAAATGATGCCATGTCTTAAGTTTGCTTCTCCTTTTTTTGGGAAGTCTAAAAATAAAGCAGCAGTGGAGTGACTCAGCCATACATCAAAAAGGCGTTTTCTCTCTCACTCTGTTTCTGTCTGTCTCTCTTTTTTTGTCCTGGGACTTAGAAGTCAAACCCACAACACACGGGCATTGTTGCTTAATGAAAAGTCTGTTAATAATACACGGATATTCATTTCTAAGAGAGAGAGGGAGCATTCGGAGCCACGGGGCAAAAAACATGAATTTCCTTGAACCTCAGAGGACGATGGGGGTCATAGTGGAATAATTTAGGAACAAGCTGCACCGAGCTGCAATTACAGCTTTTGAGTAGTTTAATTGCATCTGCTAATCATATAATATAGCGCAGGCCTGGGGCTACAGTGTACCACCAGTATTATTTATTTATTCATTCATTTACTTGCCATTACAAAGGCAGGTCCACTGAGGCTTGTTGGAATTTTAAAAGCTGTCTTGAAGGGTAGCGGTAACACAGATGTAAATCAGTTGCCTGGTGCTAAACTCAAAGTTCACCTTTGCCCTGTTAGACTTGGGTAAAGTAGCCGAGAACAATACATATTAACTCCAGATGACTGTTTTTCCTGTGTTTTTCAACTCTCAATATTGCATGAGACAAGAAAGGATTTGCTGAATTAGGGGGTTTAGATGCTGACAACTGATAAATAAGCAGCCTTTCGTTGATGGCACCCTAAGGGCTGCCTGCCTGAGTGTGTGTGTGGGTGTGTGAGCGAGACAGACAGACAGACAGACAGACAGACAGAGAGACAGAGAGACAGAAGGAGGATGCGTTCACATGCCTCGCCTCCCAAACCTTGTTTGACAGCTTGAGCTCCGCTGCTCATAATTGTTTGTCTTTCCATCTCTGAATATGTATGCACGCCAAGCCAGGTTTGCTATCCTGCATCATTTAATGTGTGCTTTATCAACGGGTGGCTGTGGCGTTACCCTGCAGGAAACCTGAGTGATTTCACACCGAGGCGTGGAGAGCGGAGATATGAGGAGGATGCGGCGGAATTTTGAAACAGATACAGAAAAATCTGAAGAGTTCAAGAGAAACAGAGTCTGTTCCCCTTATTTTTGCCTTTTTTCTGGCTGGTATCATTTGAACGTTTCACCCTCATGGTGTGATTAATAAGAGGCGACAGTGTTTCCAGACCACAGAGATGTTAAAAATACACAACCCGGAGATAAAGAGGAAGGGCCTGTCGCCTGAATCATTCAGGAACTCACTTCCTATGTATTCTTCTAGTATGGAGACGCTGTGGCATCAAGTGTGTGGTTGCAGGATTTCACATTCACGACAGCACAGGAGTGATTGCATGCGCTCATTCGCTTCATCGTGGCCTTTTAAACACGGGTTGACTCACTATTGCTTTTTGCCGTTGCCTCTCTCTCTGCTCAGCCCGCTCAAACTCCCGCTTCTCGTAGTCCCGCCGGTACTCCTCCCTCTTCAGTCTCTCGTGCTGGTACTCCTCATAGCTGTCATACCTGCAGAGAGAAAGAGAGAAAAAAAAAGAGAGGTGTGATATCCCCATCCTAGCTCGGCCTTCTAAAAGCAGAAAAAAACATAACAATTGCCTATATCCACCGAGGAGCAGTCCACTATTCCCCCCCCCACTGATGGTTGAGAAGGGGGTTGCGAAAGAAGAGGAAAATAGACATGTTAATAAGATGTCTCTCCGCCATCGCTATGATTACGACGCCCGCAGGAGAGGGCCCACGGGAGAGCCGGCGAGCAGCGCGGTCGGGGAGCTGGGCAGCTGCAACTGTCAGCACAACTTCACATGTCATTACTTTCTGCTTACTTAGGGCTTCATCAAGAGGGAAAGTGCAACTACTTTCTCCCCACCACCACCACTCCAAACTGGCACTAGACGTGTCCGTTAAGTTTTCGACTGATGAGCGACTCTCTAGCTTGTCGGGTGTCATTAAGGCCTGTGGGTGCCAAATCAGCTCGGAGCGCTGGAATGGTGTCACTCTCCCTCCCTCACCTCCTTCTCTCTCTCTCTCTCTCTTTTTCTTCACTTTCTCTGCATATGAAACAGTCGCCTCTGCAATAGCTCATGGGAAACTACGGAGGCGCTAAGTTGAATAAGCGCCATTTAACAGCTGAGGGAGTCGACTGTGGATTGACGGATGAGCGTGCATGAGTGGGGTTTTTTGGCACTAGTCCTTTAAAACATGATCGATGACACACATTTGCACACCAGGTGGACGATGCAGAGGGGGGAGAAGCTTTTGCTGGATGCACTAATAATCTCTTAATATGACTCCCTGTAAGTTCTTGCTGTCATGGACAAACCTCAATCCAAAGTCTACAACTATTACTATCATTTTATCCACATCATGATTATCGCTATCTTGAAACCGCTTGACTCCAGCTGATATCTTTCTCTTCTTATCATGATCACAACTGTAAACGCCAACATTCGACCTGCTAACCAATAAATCACCTGTCGTATTTCACAAAACAAAAGTGTTGAGATAACATTTGTGACCATTAAACAAAGCTGACTTTAATGATGTTTTATTGTCTTGATAACTTAAGGTACGTGTGCTGATTCAGAGGTTATAAATCAGTTTCAAATTCTCACCTTGGCCTGCGGCTGAGAGGAGATCGAGACTGAGAGTGGGGGCTCTTGTGAGTCCTGGAACGAAAAGTGCTTGAATCTGTGTTATGGCGGGACCTATGTGGAAGAGAAAAAAGAGCATTTAAGTCGGACTAAGAATATTCTCACAGTACGGAAAAGTCAGGAAATAAATCATACGATGCAAAGTTGATTTTTGCCCTTTTGCGACACCCTGATTAATTTGTTCTCAAGCAGAAGCCCCCTTCTTTGATACTCCCGAGGCTCATTCAGGTGTTAGAAACGGGGTTAATTCCAGATGAAAGCCTCCTGTATCCTCCTTCCCTTGTCCTAATGTAACCTCTGGCAGAGGAAAGTGTGCATAATTTTCCTCAGAACTTTCCCTCGCACCTGAGCTAGCATACACACGCACCTGCTATCTATGTTGTATGAGGGAAATGGTCAATACTGTGGGCTCTGGTGGCCTGACTGTGAAGCGTGTACCCCCCTGCACTCCACCCGCTTCTGATGCTTAATTATTGAAGTGTTGCTGAAGAAGGAAGACCTGAATAATGGAAAGGGGAGAAGTTTGGGAAGCTCACAGAGGCAAAGCACTGCCAGTTTGCAAAGGATCGAGGATCTTACGCTATGAAAACTTGAAACACAGAGGGGGGATTTTGAGAATTATTTTGCTGAGACTCTATTTATCTTTTCAAGCTTCTTGTTCCATTGTTTGGAAAAACTCAGATCCCTGCCGAGTGTTTTCAGAAAGCTTGTCAGATTCTGATCGAGCACCTCGAGACTATTATTGTATAATTTGTGAGCGAGTTTGAGTCGAGCAGAAGAGAGGCGCTGGGATGGAATAAAGTGATTCTATTGGCTCGGTGGAGTAAACTGACCTTTAAGTAATCAAGCAAACAAACTGCAAGAGGAGTCCTCCGCTCAATGAAGCACTACTGACAGACTGAATTTACGCACATCTTTCACAGTAACTACAATCTGCCTCTGTTCTTCAGCTGGAAAAAAAAGGGAGTGAAAAACCCCTTGGCTCTGATCAAAGGGAAGCATGGGAAATGTAGTTCTCACACAGAGCTGTGATGATGATAGGAGTCTCTTTTGAGAGGGGTTTTGAGACTACATTCCCACAGCCTGGATTCGTCTTTCATCTCTGGGGATGTAAAGGAAGAGGGTTTGCCACTCAGTAAAAACAACAGCTGCCGCTTAAAACAATAGCCCCGGCATCAAACAGAAAGCAGGAGCAAGTGAAGGGAAGGGGGGGTCTGTTAGGAAGACAATCAAATAAAACTCCCTGCCTGGAGATTAAAACTCATACTGTTCAAACGTCCACAGCCTCTGGCACGTTTTAAGTTCTGGGTTTTCTCTCTCTTTTGTGTTGTTTTCAGGGAGATCACAACATTAGAGCCATCTTTCTCCTCATTATCAGTTGCCACCTGGTTTATTGGGCAGAATTTAGTTCGTATAACAACCGCAGACAGTTTTACGTGTTTAATCTCTTTGTTAGCCCTCGCCAAATCTTCTCCGCGTTTATTCGGGGCAAAGCAATCATTGGCAGAGGGTCAAGAAACCACGCTAAGAGTCTCCGGGGTCTTCCCTGTCTGACACTGGCTCTGACGACTGATCAGGCCTGTTTTACACTCCTAAGATAGATCTCCTGCCAGCTCAGAGACCTGTTTGAACTGCATGGGAGGGGAGCAGCCAAAAGGGTCAGAGAGGTGTCTTACCAGGATAAGGGGCGTCTGTCAGGTGAGGTGGAGAGCGAGCGCCTCCGGTAGTGCGGGGAAGAGCTGCGTGAGCCGGAGTGGGAACGAGAACGGGAACGGGAGCCGCTGCTGGTCCAGCAGGAAGGCCTGCTGGGCGAGAGGAGGAGGGAGGACGGAGGGGAGACGGAGCCTCGTGAGGGGGAGCAGCTGGATGGTGGGGAGCAGGAGGGAGAACAGGGGGGGCAATCGAAGAGTAGGTCCAGAGGGGTGCCCTCCCACGGGTACAGGAAGCGACTCTCACGGCCCCCGCCGAGCTCCAGCTCTTCGTGGAAGGGGAGGAATCCAGGGTGCAGGTAGGTGGAGCCAGGCAGCCTTTGGGAGTAGACGCCATCCTCTCCCTCCTCAAGGGGCTGAGGGGCCGCAGCTTTATTGGGTTTGCTGCCTGGTTCTCTCTCCTGGCCACCCGGGCTGTAAAGGGCTTTTAAAGGGGGGCCAAAGTGCTTATTGAGTTCTGCTCTGATTTCCTGGTCGCACAGAAGCTTCCGGCTGGTGGCAGAGACTTGCGAATGGTCCCCGTCTGTGGCTGCTTCTTGTGGGGGGATATGCATCCCTAACTCCTGGACCTGGACTGCTTCTTTTCCATCCACAGAGGCAACATTCTTCTGCTTATCCAGAGGACCACATGGAGCTGATAATGGAGAGGATGAAGATGAGGATGATGAGGAGGACGCTGGCATGGCTGAGTCCTTACATTCGACATGCCTGTCCTCAGCTTTGCCTGAAAAAGGCAAAGGAGCAGTGGCAGTTATGTCTGCTGCTGCTGCAGTCATGGTAACAGTGGCTGTGCCGCCGTCCCTCTTAGCGCTAGCCAACGCCTGGCAATAGTCATGGTCACTGTAGCCACGCGGCACCGCCCGCTTATTGATGCTAGCACCGCGATGCTCCTCAAGGCCACCCCCCGCTTTGTGTGGGGTGTAAGGGAGGGTGGGGGACGCTTTGCTCAGCTGGGCGTAAAGCTCAGTCTGTTCGGGACCCTTCCTGGTGGGGCCCCCGCCTGAGGCACCTGGGGCCGGGGCCAGAGCGCCGGGGCCCAACTCGCTCAGCCTGGCTCTTTTGCACGCCAAGGCCGAGGAGGAACATGAAGACAACTTGGTTTTGAGCGATGCTTTGAAAGGATTCTCTTGACTGGCTTTGTGTGGGGGCGTGGTAGGTGGTGTCAGACCTGCAGAGGGAGGAGAGGAGAAGAGCGGAGCGGAGCGTGGTGTCAATAAAATGAAAATGGAATCATAATGCCAACCCTCTCAAAATACCCACCAGCACCACCACTTATTAATCTATAAACTCCTGGGTCAGTTTATGGACAGTGGACACAGATACATGCCTGATTAAAATATTCACTTTCCCTCGGCCTAATCCTGATCTCTCTTTTATTGCAATCTTGACAGATTAATGTAATGCTTGGTGTAACTTAATATGATGGTGCTGTAATACGGATGACTTGCTATCCCCTTCCTCTCTGACCTTGGAAAGATCCCTTTTCATGTGAAAAAAAAAAAAAAAAAACACAACACAAAACCCTGCAGAGGACAAACGTAACACATCCGATGAAAAAAAAATGAGAGTACATGTATCACATCTCCGCCTGCTTCACATAAATGTCCGTACTGGACAGCAGCCAATTCATCTGAATAAAACCAAAGACCTTTTTTATCCATCTCGGAGACCCATTAGTGACACGGCGCCTACATGTTTTAAGATTAACCTGCAGCATCTACATTTTTTGTGAATAATTCTGCGCCTCTTAAAGTACGAATTCACTTGTCGGATGATGGTGCCACGCTGGGACGTCTGCTTTTTCATGGCAGAACAGGAAGTACTGTCGAATGGGTTGTCATTCTTCTCTGATGGCATGTCCCTACTGCGTGTGCCCCCCCATCTTTCCTCCCCGCCTCCTACAGATTTACAACCAGACAGATGGCAGTTATATGGGAAGTCCTGAGATGAGCCCACTTTATAGCATTGTTAATGCACTCACACAAACAGCAGCCGCCATTACTCTCATTCTCTCCCCCTCCTCTCCTTCAGTCTTCTATTCTCCCCTCTTTCACTCTCTTCCCGTTCCCTGGATCAATCTCTACTTCTCTCTTTTCTCAACATCCTTTCCTGTCTCTGTCTCACACAGAACAAATGTGCCCACACACACACTCTCTCTCTCACACACACACACTCGTCGCTAACAGTCTCTCACTGGAGTCAAACTCAGGCACTTTGAAACACCTACGCTCTCCCCTCTTCTTTGCCTTTCTTATAATGCACATCATTCTTCCCCCTCGCTGGTGAATTGCACCAAATGACAGCTATTAGTATCAAATCCAGTGTTAGAGTGTGCACAGGGAAGACAGGAGCAAAAAGGGAGCCTGATACATAAATATGCAAGTTTCTGAAAGCGCTTGCTGTGTTTGGAATGCCTGATCTAACGGCTTAGCATCCTACTTATTAACGGGAGGTGTCTGCGAGGAGGACTGCAAGCACCCACTTCCCTTGATTCACTCTTTCTTCTATCTTTTTGGCTCTGATAGAACTACAGACACATACTGTATGAACAGGAGAAGAGAGAGGGAAAAAGAGGGGGTGTTACACATCGCCAGAGGAACTTCTGTTTCACCAATGAAGCGCCATCTGTCCAAAACAATGTGCGCGTGGGGTCATAAACTAGGAGCCATTAGCGATGGGGGTGAAATAAATCAGAATTAGATAAATATGTGCCTCTCAGTCAAACCTGCTAGTGATGGATCATCCTCTGACAAACACCAATCATGAAGCCACCAGAGTGAAAAAGTGGTCCGGATGTAAATGACATGGAGTAAATAACCACCCGGTGCTCAAAGAGTTGATCCGGCGGTAAGCCATGCAAATATCTACACACACGGACCACCTCAGTGTCATGAGATACAGTAATTAAAGACAACACGGCGGCACAGGGTAAATCTATTAGCTCGGCAAAGATTAGGCAGATCCCAGGGGGGCTTCTCTCTCTGCCTGTTGTTGCCTTCAATGAACCTTTCTGAGACGTGTCAAGAAAACATTAAAGCAACAGAGCAAAGAGAAGCTTCCTTTAAAGCTCCTGTCAGAAACTTTTGATCTGGGTTGATTTTGGCGCCCTCTCTGGAAAAAGGCAACACCTGCATCTATAACACTCGGAATTGTGATTTGATTCCTCCAAATTTAGAACTTAATTTTCATAATTGACCTTGCTTTTGTTAATTTACACCTTTTTTCTACAAAAACTTTAGATTTGCAAAATTACTTCCTTATCCTCATAATATATACTATGTGGTAGGGCTGGGCGATAAACCGAACATTTACAGATACCGAAATCTACGACAATAACTGACGTCATTTTGTCCATATAGGTGCATTCAGTGTAAAAATAAATAAATAAATAAAAGTTTGTTTTTTTTTGGATGTGCGTAGGTAGGCTATGGTCTCATGTCCCTTTAAGATGCTGTCATATGTCATACCGTTCAAAAGTTTTAGCGGCTGGTGCGGCAGCTGAAGTAAATGAAGTTAATGTGGAAGGGGGTGAGCAGCTTGTGGAGTAGTTATCGACCATTTATCGTTATCCAGGTAAACTGTTCAATATATCGTGATAGTGATTTGAGGACATATCGCCCAGCCCTACTTTGTGGCCCCTATCCTTGGTTTTACTTTCAACTATTTGTGTTGAAAAAATAAACTAAAAGCTGTTTTTGCAAAGTGCTATCAGACACTTTGACTTCTACCCTGCAGCAGGAATATCAGGAATCAAAAATGGCAAAGTTGAACCAGACGATCTTGCAGTCTGTTTCATAACCACACACACACACACACACACACACACACACACACACACACACACACACACACACACACACACACACACACACACACACACACACACACACACACAATAAAAACAAAAAAAAAACACCCCTCAGCTGAGCTTAAAGTACCAAATAATGAGCTGGGAGAGTACAAGATGTTCAGCTGATAAGTGTTTCTATTAAACAGTAACCACCGCTACTACAACTCATCATAGAGCCATAAATAATAGAACTGGCAGGAATTCATGGAAAGTTCCACCAGTGAGCTGCGTCTCAGGTGGTGGGTGGAGCCGCCCTCCTGGCTAACTTCCATCTGGTTATCAGTAACAGCGCCATAATCTCCATTGTAGTGGAATGTTACTCTAAATCTGCAAAGGACATGTAACTCTGGACCTAATAGCTCTCACCCCCGCTTAAAGGGGTCTATATCCGCCTGTCTCATGCAGCACCAGACTCAAAAGCTAATCCCTAAGAAGTAAAAAGGGGCTCAGTAACCCAGAGCTTCCTGGACTAATGACTTTTTCTTGCTAATATTCAATCCAAAATTTGTGAAGTCAGGTGAAGGGCTTTCTTTGACAGGGGGCTGTTAAATGGAACGGACGCTTAGACTTGGCCACAGGTCAAAAGGCTCACCCACGTGCTGTAAAACAGGAAGAAATATTAACCTCGCTTGATTGCACCAGAGCTTAAGCGGTGCAGCTCTTTCCGTGCTTTTTGGTCTCGACGGGCATCCCCTTTGACCCCGAGAAGCTTATCAACACAAAAGGGTTAAATGGCACTTGGACCAGGGTCAGAGAGATGCAGGGGGACCCTCTTGGGGTTTGATGTGCCACAAATTTCAGACCCTTTAAGAGACACCCCTGCTGGTGAATGAAAACTTCAAGCAGAAAGTGCAACATTAAAGAGTTTAGAGAGCAAAGGGGCAGCTGTGTTGTTATAAAATCATTCTTCTGACTTTTTCTGTGCACAAATAGGAAATACAGCCCAAAATATAGCAGGTTTTGTCCTGTTTTGTCCTGATTTTGTTGTTCTGATCAAAAGCGTGGAGCTTCAAAAATTTCTCATAAGTCAGCTGATCTGATTCCCTGCATGTCAAAGACCCCTAAAAAAACAAAATCATAGATCATCCGTGCAAAACTGAATTACTCTGTAAAACCAATTAAACAGTAACACTGCCATTTCAATTTCTCTAATGATATGTAGGCTAAGTAAGCTGTCAGTCAGAGCGCATTAAGATCTGATAGAGGAAGAGGAGAAGCATATTAACTCTTCAGAAAATGGGGACGGGAGATGGGGGAGGGTTTGCTAATAAACCCTGAAGAGATTGGAAAGCCTAATCAATAGTCGGCCACATAAAAGAGTTCTCCAGCGCCGTCACCTTGAACTCTGAACTGCGAAGGGAACTATCAAGATGGTGGAGCCAGAGTTAACCCTTTATTAGCTACAACAACGGAGTGAGGAGAATAACAGTAATCATAAAGACGTGTGCGCTTACCTGGGGTTCCAGCAATCTCCACACTTAATGTGCGTTCAATGGTTTTGTTCTCAAACGGTGATCCCTTGTGGTCACTGGAAGACAAAAAAAAAAGGAAGGTGCATTTTACTCCTTGGGTGAAAGTGAAACGCTTTTATGATCTAAGAAATGGAAATGAGTCACAAAAATGCCTCAACTTGGATTCTAGTCTATATAGTTGTTCTCTATTTGCTTTGTTTTTCTGTAGTTTTCCTGCTGCTTTTTGCCTGGAATAGTGTGGAAAAACTTCTCAGACTTACTTTGGAGACTCTGGGGTCAAAGGAAGTGGCAAGGTGGTTGGTTTGGCTGCAGAACACAAAGGAGCATGGGTAATTATTGATCTAGGTATGACACTCAAGGCAGAAGAGAACAGGTCCACATTCTGCAACACTTAATCTTAAATTTGCTCATGAAATGCAATTATCACTACAAAAAAAAAAAAAAAAAAACACCCATTAGAAAGTCTTTCTAAGGACACTATTGCACAAAGCATATTTGCATATTTTAGTTTGACCCCGTTTTAACAATTTAGGATAGACTGTTCACTCTGTGAGGCAGGATGGAGTGATGGTGTGTATTTCACAAGTGTCCAGACACAAACATACCCCGCTCAAGACAACAAATAGATCGAGAAATGGAATAAATACACATAGAGACGATGCCACAAACAAGACACATGACAGTGGTGAGCCCCTTCCTGGACAATAAAGTTTATATTCGCATGCACCAACAGCAGAGGAGGGGGGAAAAAGAAGGAAGAAAGGAGAGTCAAGGAAGCTTGTGCAGTTGCCCGAGGCTCTGGCCGACTTGTGGAAACGTGGCTTTTAGTAGCACGATACTAAAAAAGAGCAGCACCCGGGCTCTGAGTCTAAAATGTACGGATTCAGCACACTCAGCTCAATCAGCCAAAAGACCGTTCAAAGGGTCGACTTTTAGATACAGGGCGGATAGTAGCAAGACAAGGCTCACCCCCTTTCCCACCCCCTGCTTTTTTTCAACATTACCCCTTTATTCAGATTTGTTTAAATGCCTCCAGGACTAGCAGAAAGCATCGTCTGAGACAGCAGGCTGGTTTGTTTTTGCCCTCAGAATGACGGTTAGATCGGTATTAGAGTAGGGGTTAGTTGTGAAGTCAAACTGGGAAGTGGTTAAAGCAGGAGAGGGAGAAAAAGAGAGCAAGAGATAAGGCCAGTGGGGGGGATGCAGTCATGATTACCTAACAACGGGTGGCCCTGGTCGTCGGGGTGCTCGCTGAGTGCCTGCCTGTGTGGGTGCCCTTGCCCTTGTGTGATGCAGGGAGGGGCGGGCTCTGCAATTCTAGTATCTGGGAAGAGTGGGCTTGGTGGGCTCTGTGAGAGCGCCGCTGCGGGGCTGCCCGTGACATGGTCATCATCATCGTCATCATCATCACCATCATCATCATCAACATCATCATGGTCAACATCCTCCCCATGGTTTAGCCACCCGAGATCTAGTCCGAAACCTATGCCTAGCTCTGAGCCAGGCTGACTAACCCAGCTCTCTAGGTCAAAGGTGAGAGGTGACAACAAGGACCCCGAGTCGGGCTGTTCAACCGGACTTACGGCCTGGTTTTTTACATCAAGAGTCCTTTCAAACTCTTCCTCCTCCACCTTGGGATCAGCCTGGGTGGGGCTCTCAGACCTCTTACCTGCTGATTTGCTTTGGGTTCTGGGTAAAGGGGTGATCTCAAGGGGGGGTAAGTGGGCTCGATACTCAGTGGGCCTCTGTTTGGAGGTGAGCAGCTGGCTAAGTAAAGGGTGCCCCGACTTCTCGTCTCTTTTCCTAATAGTCACTGTGACGTGCCTACGTGGCGCACGGCGGGCACCGCTACTGTTACTACGGCCTTGCCTGCCAAAGCCCTCTCTAGCCTGAGTGGCGCCCGCAGCCTCTCGGCAATGCTCACAGCTGTGACTCACCTCTCGGGGAGGGAGGGAATAAGAATGCATATACCTAATAAACCTAGCGGCGGCCAGGCGGCCCACATCGCCTGGCGGCCTTCCTTCTTCACTGGGAGGCCCGTGCTCCAGTTTGAGGCGGGCATGGCCGCAGGTGGAGGTTCTGTGGCTGACAGAGATAGAAGCACCCTCCGACTCCTCCACCCCGTCATCGTGAGAGCAACGCTGCCACTTCCCAGCCCCAACACCAGCCACAATACACCCGCCTGCAGCCCGGCTCTCACCTCGCTGGTGATGCTGCTGCGGCTGCTGCTGCTGCTGCTGCTGCTGTTGTTGCTGCTGTTGAGATGGTACGGTTGACTTCTTCTTTGAGGTGGAAGAGGAGGAGGAGGATGAGGTGGAGGAGAGGGAGGAGAACGAGGAGGTGGAGGACGAGGACGGCGAAGAGGAGGAGGACGAGGCGCCGAGACCCAAGCCGCTCTTGTCCCTGCTACCGGCACCTCCCCAGGTGCTCTTGGCGTCGCTGGCTTTGGTGTGGAGCAGGATGTCATCGGTGGCTGTTAGGTATTTCAGCAGCTCAGTGCACGGCCGCCTCACCGGGCGGTTCTGTTGGCTGGAGCCCCCTCTTGCTTTGCCATTCCAGGGGCTCTCCGTCTGTGCAAAAAAACGAGATACAGAAAGAAAAATTTAGCGGCTTTAATAAAAGTTTTCCCATGTTAGAATCGTACAGCTGATCCAGTTTGGAAAAATGTTGAGCGCATAAATAAAAGTTGAAAGTGATGGAGTGAGAGAGAGAGAGGCTAAAAGAGCGACTCTGCAGACAGCCACTGCTGAGCGGTCTGGGAGGCGATGGAGGGAGTGCGGTCCGCCCATCATCTTAATTGCGTGGCCCCTCCGAGCACCAGTGTGCCACTCTGTATGTGCACCATGTCCTCCGGGAGTCCTCATTCGCTGTGCTCCAGAAATGGATGACTCAAAGGCACAGTATGAAAATAGACTGTGTGAGGAAGGTTGACACACTGCATGTGCAAACATTGTACGCACTAAACACACAAATCTGTGTCTGTGTTTCGTTTAGCTCATGATTTGATCACATACTGACACATACAGAAGACTTTAATCATCCAGGTGAGCCTGGAAAGCAGATTTCTGACATTTTCCTCCAAACTGTATGTGACACAGAACATATATTTTCGTATGTCCTGACATGAAATGCAAACAGACATTCATAAACCCATGAAACATCCGCTGACGAACATTAATCTCAATCAGCCCCGCCCCTTTTGAAAAAATCCTTTTGAGAGCCATCTAATGAGAACATCAAGTCTGATATTTTGATCTTGTCGTCTCAAGGCATCAATCTCGCCGCAAGACTGCCTGTCGCTCTTTTCTTTTTTTTTTTCTCCTCCTTTTTTTTTTTCCAACAGGCACCATACCAAGGCGGATAAGTGGTGGAGCTAATGAGACAACGGTGCCGAAGCCTCGCCTGGAAAGCCCAACAGCAATCAGCCTGTTTTCATTACGAGAGGGCCCCCTGGGATAGCCGACTAGAGCAGCAGCCTAACATCTTCTAAAGGCGGCCACCAAAACAAGAAAAGTGTGAGAGGGGAGGGAGAAAGAGCCAGAAACAAGACAGGGAATAAACAAACACTAACAAAAATGTGTGTGTACACGAGTTGAATACGCAGCAAGGCAGTGCAAGTGCATGTATTTGTCGATGCGTGTGTGTGTGTGTGTGTGTGTCCCTACCTTGACGACGGCAGGTGGTGGTCTGATCCGGTGGTTGCTGCTGGCTGCATGGTTCTGTGCCTTGCCACCTGTGTATTGATTATAGCTGAGCTGGGAGTTTGCGGGTGCCAGAAGGAGCTTCTTCAGCTGCAGACGGACCCAAAACAGAGCGAGGGAAAGTGGAAAGAGAGGAGGGGGGGAAAGAGAGTGTGAGTTATGCAAATCACCATTGTCTTTCAATTAAACATCCTATGCTTTGTAAATGCAGAACGGCGAGAGGTTGGATTGTGGAAAAGGTTTGGAATTTTTTCGACAGAATATCACAAGACCGGACTAGTTTTTCCCTCCTGAGCAGGTGTTTTCGTGTACACAAAGCCAGGCTTCTCCACTGTGATTGAATAAACACGCTCGGGCATGTGGCAAAAGGTCATTTGGAAAGGACCGGCATGGAATAAAATGGACTATAACTGAACATAACATAACATTTTGGGTCAGAGCCTCTAAGCCAAAAGAAAGGCCCAGATGGCGTGGCTATGTGTAAAAATAACAGCACAAAAGGTAAGCTGACTTCTCATCAAGGGGTCTGTCTTTTTGCCAAAAAGATGACTCGGGCACAGGGGGATTAGTTGGGGCCCGCTGAGAGAAGACAAAATGAAATGGATTTCCTTTTTTCTCGACTTTTATTACTCGCCGGCTTGATTTCGGGGCTTGTGGCACCGTGTCAACCGTACTTGGCCCGAACGCAACGCTGGTATCATTGAAATGGCGCCACAAAAGCAGTGTTATGTAATTAGCGCCGAGCAGCTAACGCATTGATCCGTTCCCTTCGACTGTGCAGCTGTAGTTCTGCACAATTTCACTTAACCTGTCAACAAATTGTTGCAAATGTGGGAATGATAAATACAGAAGTCAAAATCGACCAATGGCCAATTTTGGGACCTCGTTCTTGTCCTTTGAGTCTTTGCTGGGTCAGGATTAGAGGCGACAGTGTATGAAAGGTTGTGGGTCATGACTTGGGAAGACTATTTAAACCCTGGACTGGTGCTTTTGGGATTTCCTTGTGGGAGGTTCTTACCAAAGAAGGCTCCTCAGGCTCTGGGGTGCGCGGCGAGCCGTCAGGGGAGGAGGGACAGCTCCGGTCACTGGCATTGGTCACGTCCCCATCTGCCAGGGCCTCGAACGAAGGCAATCCGTCCTCATCCACTGGGATGCTGTCCAGTGTCTCTGTAAGCACTGCCAGCAAGTTGGCCTCATTTTCTTCATCTATCTTCTTAGGAGGGGGGAACGGGGGGAGAGAGACAGAAACAGAAAAATAGAGAGATGGGGAAAATAGGACATTTTAGTCAGGGAAAAGTTACATGTCTTTTTTTTTCTTCTTCCAGGGAAGTAAAGGTGGTGGGTGGTTGCATGCGGGCTTTCATTGTTAATAGAGTGGGAAGATTTTTTTTTTCTCAATTTCTCCGCAGCCGCAGAGCTGGCTCTATTTTGGCAGCCTTTTTAAAAACAAAATTCTCTCCCTGCACAAGTGAGTCAAGCCTGTCACTCATATTTTAAGCATGCAGCTTACTGGACCAAAATAATATCTCCCCCAAGAAACCCATTACCAGGGCTGACAAGTAGCAAGTATCTAGGGAAGGCGGGTACGGGTTGGGGGGCAGGGGTGTGTTGCGTTATGGAGCGGTTTGTGGGGGTAAAGGAAACAATGAGCAAAAGTTGACTGCACTCTCTCCTCCCCCGCAGGATTGAGAGATGATTGGCTCACCGACAAGATGTTTGCAAGCAATCCTCAGATAAGGCGAATTACCACCCGCCGAAGCTAAATAAGTGTGATATATTTAAACTGTTGGCATGACAGCTGACGTTTGCAACGGAAGAGGGAAAGTAAGCATCAACATTTCATGAGAAATAAAGCGCGTTCTTGCCACTCAGCTGCTCTTTGATGTTGCACAGGATGGGTTGTGTGCTGGATGCATCTGGTTGTCTAATGGTGGAGATTAGAAGTATGTGTAAAGAAAGAGACAGAGATGTGAATTCGCAGAGATGGAAGTACTAAGAGAAAAGGAGGTGATAGGCATCATAATGGGAGATTCACCCATGAGGAGAAAAACAACAAGAGTTAAGAGGTAAACAGGTATTAAGAGTGAAGGCAATGCAGCTTGTTTGATAGAAGGGTGTATGGAAAAGTGGCAGCGGGGAGGAAGTGTTTGTTCCAGCGCCATGACAGCCCAGGGGACTTTAAAACAGCAGAAAGATAAACAATGTCGTCACCCTGGGATATTCTCCAGCCCAACGAGAACAAATCCCTTTATGCACATGGATCATTATCGCTTGGCACGGGTGCCATCATTATGCCAAAGGGGGCCACCAACCTCTGAGATACCAAAACTACACCTCACAAGACTCTGTTTCCAACATGCACTAAATTTGCCCACCCACTAAGTCTGGCGCTGAGGCGGGTTTAAATCTTCCAAAGTGATAGACCACCGTTTTCATTCTTCCCTCAGTCAAATATGAGTTTCTAATCTTGGACATCCAGATAGCATCCAGCTAGCTAACAGTGAGGAAATGTTAATCTGATGCTCAATGAGTAGATTTTTCTCTCCTAACAACACAAGAGCACTCAGTCATTATTAAAAAATGATAAAGGAGACATATTTCACAGAGATAACACGACGTAGACTGGGGCAATGCCGCACCGGCAGGCAAACGCCTTGCAGGAAATTGCTCTGTATGAGGTGGCATGCTGTTTAATTACTTGAAAGGAGCTTCAAATCTACTGCACTGGAAACCCCTAAAATATTCACCATTTTCCAGCTTCCCAAGTTATTACCCAAGCGCTAAGCAGGTACGTATTAATCCAGAGCCCTTTCTTAGGCCAAACATACATCCTCGCATGAGAAATTGAAAGTAGGATCATTTTAGATTATCACAAATGAGTCTTTAATGAGCCAGCCATCTGTCTGGGTCCATCCTCACTTACCACAAAAGCTACGCTGTGTATTGGGAAGCAGTATTTACCTCTTTAGATTAACTCTGAACCTTTATACTCCATAGAAATTGCAAATTATGCCCCTCTGCGACACTAGTTGCATTAAAACTCAGAAAGGCTGCGCAGGCTGCATTATGTCACGGTTTTGGGAAAGATTTGAGAGTTTCTGTGGAAAGCTCAAATATAGAAATTCAATCCTGTTTCAAAAACCTCCACCAACTGGCAAGCTCCACCAGGCACACAGTATCCCCTGCAGATAACCCAGAAGGGACTCTCTTATTCTGAAAGAGACACTTGTAAAACCCTGAGTCGTGCCGATCAGGCAGCAGACGCCGCCGCCGTGGCTCTAGTGGAGGCACTCGTGGGCCAAGTGGAGATTTGAAAAACTGGGGTAAGGAGCAGAGCTCAGTGATCATTCCCACCCCGGAGAGAGTGTGATCTAATGCCCCTGTCCACGAGGGCGAGCTCTTCAATGCCGCTTTAATGATCACATTTTGCAGAGTATCCACACCAAAGGCGTTCTACTACAACCGACTTGCTTGTTTGTGTATAAACAAAAACCCTCTCCGTGTGGGTGGACTTCAGGAGCTATGGCACCCAAAGGAGGTGACGCCTGGATAACCTGGCAACCTGCTGACGGACATGTCCACTTATATTGATTACCACAGCAGCTGCTGAGAGGAAAAAAAAACGAGGGCAGGAAGAACAAAGCAAGGGGAGAAAAATTGTCTCTGTGGGAGCACTTCCTCGCCCATCCCGCTTAATGGACCTCACCGAATTAAAGAGATCTTAACAATCCTGGGCTAATTGTGGGATCACAATATATTAACCCCGCTTCAATTCTAAAGGGTGCCATTTTGTGGCTGTTTTATTCCAAATGCTTCAATTAGCCATAAAACATGCTGGCAAGTGCTGGCAGACTTTCTTTCCCCTCCTTCACCCCAGTTTTTTTTTTCTCCCCGAGTCAGAGAAAAGAAAGCCTACTCCGGTTGTTCATTATTAGGTGAGGCCCTTTTGTTATCAGGCATGCTGTCTTTGAGGTTGTCCTTGCCTTTAACTCCTTTATTGAGTTCCACGGCGCCGCATTGTGTTCCAGGAGATACTATTCACACGGCTGATAACGGAAGGTGAAGGTGCTATTTTAAACAAACACCCACTCCTGCACGCTGGGGCAAATAGCCAAATTAAATCTGCTAATTGCTTCTTGAGGATTCCACGCTCCTGAGCAAATTTGCCAGGGATCAAATTTTAATGAACTTTTCGGGGCAATGCATCATTTACATGTTAAAAGGAACTCAATGTGTTGTGAAAGAGCCCGAATGATAGACCTGATCACTGGAGAAGATGAAGTTTCAACAGACTAAACAGCCGCCGCTGTTATCTTCAAATGAGAGGCAGAACATGTGGCAGCCTCTCTGGATGTGGGATGATAAAATATCTCCCATTAAATGGGTCATCTGGTATTTAAAGTACTGTTTATTCTCACTGTCTCTTTCTGCTCACTCGTTCCTTCTCTCTTTCTGCAGATAGAGAAATAGCATCCAGTTAGTTCAGACAGAAAACATTCTTAATAAATTGAGCGCCAAATTGCGTGGCGGGGTTAAATCTGTGCCTTGACAATTTAATTGCATTGCTTCATCTCAATCTTTTTCTCCCCCTCTCTGCTCTTTGCTCTGTCAGATTTCAAAAACATTCCCTTGGATGAGGTTAAGCGAGTAGCCAGACCTCCTAATCATGGCACAATCAGAAATGGTGGGGGGTTAGTGTGTGTGTGGGGGGGGTTGGTATCAAGTCGTCACATCTCGACTCTGCCAAGAAAAGCAGCCTTGGATTTGATAAACAAATAATGTCATTCTGTGTTATTACCCCCGGCCCCCAGATTTCAGAGGAAATAAATCAACGTCAGGCTTGCCGTTAAGGCGTTAGTCAGGCCTGACACGTCGGCCGGTCACACAGGCACAACATATGGGAGTGGGGAAGGAGAGAGGGAGGGAGAGAGAGAGAGAGAGAGGCAGGGAGGGTGAAGGTAAGGTGCGATGCACGGCGTAGAGACAAATCATGGCAGCAGCCAGAGACGTCTGGTCATTTAGCATGAGCTTACTGAGATGGAGCGAGGGTGATTATGGCCTATACAGAGCGATGAAACCGTACATAACACTCTTAAGTCTCTCTCTGTGTCTTTGTCTCTGTGTGTGTGAGGCAGCAGTGAAACCATATGATGGTGTTTTAAGTCATAAAACTACATTTCAAACCTTTTTAGTGGCTGTGTTCGGCTTTTGGACATGAAAAAGAGCAGAGAAAAGATTTTGGACCTGCTCGGTGTTGTGCAGCTCTGAAACCAGAATACCAGCATTGGACAGATATTTAAAGCCAATATTGATACCAATAATAGTGTAGTATCAGCCTCAGATACTACTCCAAATGCACGTAAACAAAAGAAAGTCAAAACAGTGACCAAACTACCATATCTAAAAGATAACAAAATCTCACCAAGCTGTGTTTAACCACCAATATTTACTCTTTTTTAAAGTTTTTATTCATAATAGCACAGAGGGTTACTTGATATTGGCCAAAACTCAAGTTTAATTTTGGTTATGGTATCTGTATTGCTATTGCTATTGCTGAAATCCCCACTATAGCGCTATCTGTATCAGTTTTGTATTGGTATCCATATTAGTATCAGTGCTGTGTTAGTAGCACTATCACTGTTGGTATCAATATCTGTACTAGTATCCATATCAGTGTTAGCATCACACTGTATTAGTCCCTATCACTATTGTATCTGTATAAGTATCTATACTGGTAATAGCATACCTATCAGCATCAAATTAGTATCAATGTCGTGTCAGTATCAGCACTGACATCTGTATCTATCAGTATCCATATCTGCGTCAGTATTGGGGAGGAAGCAAGGTATAATAATCTGTCTAAAACTACCTCCCAGAAAAATGAAAAAGATAAAAGATTAATATGCTCTAACACAAGACAACACCAACGGATCTTTTTACAGATCAAATCTTGAGTCAAACTACGAGTTTAGGATGTTTTCTGGTGTTTCATGTTGGTTTGGGCTGTAAATCATGAATCTTTACCCTCCAAATGCAGACAAGTTTGTCCAGTCAAGCTGATTTCAGGCTTCTCCATCCTACTTAGCTATAATACCACAACTGGCCTCACGCTAATCCCTTCACTCTGGCAGGAATTCACTATTTTGTGCCTCTGTTAAAACAGAAATGGCGGCTCTGTGAATGAAGAAGAAGGCTCGTCTAAGGAACCGACGGTTCATACGCCAGATGTCTGTCTCAGTTCCGAAGGCTATGTGAGTTATCCATCAATGAGGAAGCGGTTCGACCCATCGGAGAGGACCAGGATGTGTATGTGCAGAGATGATGCATCTCCTGGGAACTATTTGAGACTGTTAGAGCACTATCAGATGAGCTGATGTGGGAGAGAGGAGGAGGAGAAGGAAGAGAAAGTGAGGAGAGGAGTTATCTATGTGTTTGAGAACCAGCCAAAGAGGGAGAGAGAAGTGTTGTTACACATCCTGACACAGGCCAGATCCGATTGAGACACCTACCCCAGGGATGTGAGCTCTGTTGTTCTTTCTAGATCTCAATGGGGAAAAAAAAAAACCTTTGAGTAGTAACCCCAGAGCTGCTGCTGGTGCTGGACCTAACCACCTGAACTCTGTCACACATCTGCTGAGAGCAGCTGAGGCTGTCACATGCCTTCAGACCTACAAGGCCCTTTCTGTCTAACTTTGGGTCAAACATCATGCAAACGGTTGTGCACCTTTGCACAAAAGCAACCAGATAGATTTGGAAACCCAGGGATCAAAAGAAATGAAAAAAAAAAAATCAACCTCAGAGTCACAAGGATGTGAAAAAAAAACTTTGTGAAGGCTTTAAGCCAAACTGTTAAATGCACGCACACTCACATTGAGAATGACAAAAACTTTCATAAAATTGAGAAATTTTGATTGATTTTACTAAAATACTCAAATCTAAAGAGCTGGGACCTGAACCTGACTTGAAAAAATATCATAGTCTGTTCATTTGATTGGTTGGTTTAGTTGATTAATTGATGAACACATTCATCACTGTAGCTCTTTTTCATGTTGTTTCCAGTACATTATTAGCTACTGTGACAATTTCAAGGATTGGGTGGTTGGTGGCCCCTGGTGAAGCCTCCTCGTCCACGGTCCAACCCTGAGCTGCTGTTGTTTTCCTTCTTCAGCCGTCCAACAGATGGTCCGAGCAACCGTTTGCTAACACCACAGAATCACACACCATCATAATGATTGGACACTCGCTCTTTTGTTTTGGCAGCTACTTCCCAATCGGCTTGGCACGAGGAGGCACTGATTGCTGTGATTGCTCTGACTTTGACGGTCGCAGCAGGAGGAGGGAGAGAAAAAAACGGAGATTTGGAGCATCAAAATAAGGAATATTCAGCTAGATGCGGAGATGGGGTGAGGAATGGTGCATCCCTCTGCTTTTTTCACCTAATAGCATGCAAATAGCTATTTGCTTAAGTCGGCAGCTCTGAATGTGCACCACTAAGCAAGGGGCCTTTGAACATGCTGTTACACTGTTGATAATGTGCTGGAGGAACACAGGGAGGGGGACCGAGCACGTGCAGAGGGAGGCAGAAAAAAGGAACTGCGACTGCTTCTCATGTTTTGTTTTTTTTGTTTTTTTTTCTTGACCTGGACAGCACCACATTTCCTGCCTGGAGTCCAAGTCTGCCATCAGCTATCCATAAAACAATAACACACAGACACGGGAGGCTGTATTTTGACATTTTTGACATTTACATAGATTTGCAAAGGGAGCAGAATGGACCAGAACTTCTCTTTCTTTGCACAGAGGACTCAATGTTATTATCTGCTGATGACACCGCCTTTACACACTTTACAACCGCACACACCTGCACACAAATGCGGCTCCTGACCTTTCAGGCCCTGCCAAGCCCATCGAGGATTTTGTGGCGTTTCATTTGTCACAGTAATGTCTTCCTCGGAAAGATGCCAGCGCAAGGAGAGCCAGGGTACAGTGGACGAGATATAGTGGTCGACAGTGTTTCAAACAAAAGGTGTGCTTCTGTGTCATTGTCCTATTCTACATCTTTGTGCGCGCGTGTTTGTGCGTATGACAGGGGGATGCAATATCACAAATTTATGGTAATTGAAATGGCAGAATCTTTTGGGGGGAAATGCAGTCAATTTGATTCTGCGGCAAAAAAGGTCACCCTATTCAATTTGCACTCGACGGCGTGCGCGGCACGACAGGGAAACACCTGAAAGCAAACGATCTTATCAAGGCCTCACAGGCTTCACCACTTACCCGCTGCATAAAAGCTATTTGCTGATTACTAAATAAACGCATTATCTTTTACCTTGACTTCTGCTGTGTGCGCGAGAGTGTGCAGGAGCCACGTCGCTCCTGGATCCAGGTAGAAGGAAGTGGTTGCGGTGTGGATTCCTTATCCGCGTCGTGACTTTGTGTGCACCTTATCAGAGCGGTTTTCTTTCTCTTCTGTGTATGGGCTGCACGTGCGGCGGCGGTGGTCAAACATGCAGGACTTCACAAGCTGTTGCGTGTCTTGTGAGGGATGCGCCTATCTTTACAAGTAAATAAATGAAAACACATCAAAGGAGCTGTGCGCTTAAGTCGATACAATCCTCACTGCTGATGTGAGGCCAGGGACGATGCAGGGGGGGATGGGGGGCATGAGAGTGTTGCTTTGTAGCATCAGCATCCAATGTTGAGCTGTTTTTCATCTTAATCTCAGATGTCTTCTTTGGGGAATACTGATCATGTCAACCTTAGTTTGATTAAGCTTACGTTTAGCTAAGCATTCCCACTACACCTGCACACACCACTGGGCTGTAAATCCTTCCACAAACGCGGAATAATCAGCGCTGACCGGTGTCATTTGGTTGCTGAAGAAACATCTCAGCGTATCAGTTTAATGACATGAAAGTGCAGATTTATCAAGCTGACATAAAAACTTAATCAGTTAGCTAAAGATTAACCCTGTCTAGATACTATATTTGCATGCAAGCATTATCCATATGAGCTTTTGTTATACCATATGTCAGACTTATTATGAGCTTTTATTTGGTAGATTGTTATGTAAAGTTGTGTTTTAAAGTACTTAATGCTTTTTAGGTTGCCTTTAACATCTGGCCAAGGACAACAGATGACAACTAGACTTGCAAGCTAACTTTGGCTTACTTACAGTTTATATTTTAACCCTGTTGATTAGTGGTGCACTGTCCCTGTGAAATAAACCAATAAAAAACAATAAGGAAAGAAGAATTCAAAGTGGTGGCCAAATACCACAAGGCAAACTGAGCTTGTTGTTCTACTTCAACTATCACAAGGCGATCTCGTGTTAGCAGCTAAAGCTAACTAAAGCTAAGCAAGCTCACTTACTAATGGTGTTCATTCACCCTAAAGTGAGACTGATAAATGGTTATTGTCCACTTGACTAGAGCCCTCAAACACTCTTCCAAATACCGATCAGCTTGTTACACAACAGCTACACAAAAAAAGGCCATGATAGCAACTGAAAATAGTTTCCAGAAAAAAAGTTGTTGTTTATACGGGGTATAAAATTCAAAAACTCATAAAGTACAAATTCTGCTTTAGCTTTAGCTGTCCCAAATTAGAAAAAAAAAATCCTGTTTGTTGCTTGCAAGCTGTAAGAAGGACTGCATTTCACGAACAACGGTCTTTTTTAAACCCATCTTACATCCATATTTATGAAATTTCCATTTCTCTGAAAGACTCTGCCTCAAGTTATATTCTACAGCATATAATATATTCATAGAAGTTTTTTGTTTTAGAAAAAAGAAGAGTAAAGTCGTGTTTTCTATCTGCAGTGACCAAGTGTCTGTAAAAGCTTCTGCTTCCAGTTTAAACTTGGGAGCTACTGATTGGGCAGCAAGTGAGTCATCCAAGCATCCAGTCACTCATGCATCAGCAGAGCCTTGGAGAGCCTCTTGAACTATTTGAGGCCTGTGCAGACTTAAATGCTTCAGGGGGGAAATAAGCTGGAGCTATAAGCATGCAGTGCACATCATAAAGCTTAGTTAGAATGGGGAGGGTTTTTTTCTGCATGGTTGACAAAGCTCTTAAAAGGGACTGGGGGGAACTCGTCCTTCACATGTACAGTAGGAGGGGGGCAAGAGTTCACTGATTCCAAATTAACTAAATTATGAAGCATCCACAAACTACACACTCAGAAATAAACTTAGATGTGCTTAACTAGTGCTCTTTTCTTTGATTAAAAAAGCATCATCTCCTGAATCCGCCCCTGGCTCCCTCGACCAAAGTGTGCCGTAATTTGGACCACTCCTTAAGTCTAGACTCAAAAACTGCAATCTCCACCCATAACCACTTTATTTCCCTTTTTTAATTAAAGCTTTAACCCATTATTTGTCCTGGTAATTTCTTTTCAAGTCAACACTGCTGTCCACAAACTCACAGACTGACAGAGTTTGGCAAACCACCAAAGCAGAGGGGCCACTGCCAAGACCTGTGCCACAACTGGACATGTTGGCACACAGCACATATACACACACACACACACACACATACACAGACACACTTGGGATCGATTGGCCTTTCCTGGAGAGGGGAAGCAGCCTACCGCCCTAGACTGATAGCGCTTCACCATGAATCACGGTCCCATCCGATTGAAGGCTTCTCTCCATCTCCTCCCTCTCTCTGCCTCATTCTGTCGAGGTTTCCCCCCTTTTGTCTCTTATTCAAACTGTTTTCCCACTTCTGGCCATCACTTTTGCTCTTCCCTTTGTTCCTCTCTCCCTGTCACTCTTTGATCAGCTCTTTTCATCTCCATGCAAACACCATCTTGCAATACCTGCATCTTTTTTTTCTGTTGTTGTTGCATAAGTCCGAGACAACGAAAGCATGCTAGGAATCAAATGTTTACACCTTCCTCCCACAACAGAGGGCACATTATTCAATAATAGCAGGAAGGTTGGTGTTATCATGTGGCATCATTGCAACATGTTGCCCTGTGTGTGTGTGAAAGTATGAGTCGGGCCGGGGGATGGGGGTGGGGGATTATTGGCTTAGTGTTTTGGCCAGGTTTAAGTGAAACAGCCCTGAAAGGCTCTTAGTGGAGATTACCCCACGTACTAAAAATAGACATTCCTGCCCAATACACATACGAACGCAATAAAAAAAGCGATAAAAGTGTTGTGTCTAGCCAGAAAATGCCTCTATCTGATCTTCGCATGGAGTCTCTCTCCATTACGTAAAGACACACATGACATGTGTGGCTCTAGAGTGATGAGAGAGACGGGTATCCACTCGGGGCAGGGGATCAGCTGGGGCAGAAACACCAAACCATGCTTCAATCAGCAGCAGCAGCCCACTGGGAGCGTGGGGTCGAGTGTTTGTGTGTGTGAGGGAGCGAGAGAGAGAAGCAGACAGGCAGCCAGGCAGCCAGGCAGCCACCACCACCACCAAAAGATGTTCTCTTGCTCTTTTTCCAAACACTCCCTGAGGGGACTATTTTTTTGGCCATATTCACCCTCTGTGTTTTTCCCCCCGCTCGCTCTCTCCCTTCCTCCTTCCAGAAGCGATTGTTGGAGGCCAGAATATATTTGTTTTGCTGCTGCAGCCTCAACTTCCCCATCAGCCAGGAACAAATGCTTTGCCTTGGGAGCGAAAAGGAAAAAAAAAAAAAAAAAAGACAGAGGGAGGAAGGAAGAGAGAAGGGATGGCAGAGAGTGTTGTGTTGCAGGGCGGGCAGGGTTGAGAGCTCTTGTTGTGGAGTGGATCTGACAGACGCTCCGAGATGACACAGGCTTGGACAGCCCAAGTCTGAATCTCTGTACAATACGTCTGCGCCTACTTGTCTGCGCTCGCTCTCATTTGTGTATCTTGAAACAGCAACAGCCGCGGGTGTGAGAGGCGCGGTTTGCCTTGAGTTTCGACAGTGATGGAGGATTTCTTCCATCAGACAGTGCAAACAATGTATCAGCGCGGTAAAAACTGAAAGGGAACTCAAGATGAGGACAGCATGGTGTATCCTAATAAGACTCACTTGAGAAAATCATATTATACAGTGGAGTATGATAATTCATACACCCTTTGCTGGAGCGGTGAACTGGTGCGGGTGGTGTACTCTCAAATGTCAGCATAAATTTGCAAAATAAACGCAACCGGCATTCAGTGGGGAGTAGGAACAGGGACAATAAGGGTCTCTGCTGTCTGTTTATGTGTGTGTGTGTTGGTGTGTTTGGGTGTGACAATGCCTCTCAGAGGGTCTGTGACTTGTTTCAGCTCACGGGAGCGCCTATCAACCAACAAGTGTGTGTGTGTGTGTGTGTGTGAGCTAATCTAGGCTTACACGTGTTTGGAGGGAAGGAAGGGGGCTGCTTGAGGAAAACATTTTGGCGCAGCATGTTTCATCAAAGCCTTTCTAAAGATGACCCAATCAATGTAATCTGCCTTCGCTTAAGAATAAGCACCCGAGCATCTGTCCAAAAAAGTCGCAAACAAGCAAGACAAAGCAGCGTAATGCCTTTGCAAAATCTGATGCAGTCGCGCGCTCACACGAGGCACCACCTGCTGGAGTATGCGGTGTGAAGACTTGAAATAACTGACAGGGAACACACATGAGCGCTCATGTTCCTGCGCTTTATGGCAGTAATGCTTTAAAACCTTGGCATCTTATTTTACTACCTGCAAAGCCCACAACCTTTTACTCCCAATCCGTGGGGTTTGGTTTTAGCTGGCACAAGTCCCAGCTCCCACATGTCTATATGTTTGTCTCCTTCCCTTCCCATCTGTCACTCTGTGTCTGTCTTTGCTGTCTCTCTGTCTCCTTTTGTATCACTTTTTCTTACCTGTCCTGTCTGAATACATCGCCTCGCATAAGTACTCACCCTCTGAAGTTTCCGACACTTGAACATGTTGAACTACATAAAAAAATTATGCATTTGGGTGTTTTATCATCTGCTTGCGTCAATGTCTGCTTCCACTGTGGACTGTTTTGAAGTCTTACTCTGTAGGATATAAACAATCACCATCATCTTCACCATTCCTACACAGCTTACATAGGGTGACCATATTCTGAATCCCCAAAAAGAGGACACAACTATGCGGGGGCGGAGTCACAGAGTCGTGCGTAGTTAATTTTGAGAGTTTTTCGCGTTGGATCGAGTGTTATTTTACATGCATCTAACTCAGTAAGTCCATGCGACACTAACTCAAAACTTGCAGACATATGAAGGATTATATAAAGTCCCTTGGACAAAGCTGGACAAGGCCGGACAGCCCCCCAAAAGAGGACATGTCCAGGTAAAAGAGGATGTATGGTCACCCAAGCTTACACCCACGGTCTACCTTTGTATTGCATTAAGGAGTGTCAGTATTAACCAGTTAATCGTGATGCTACCGCTTTAATTTTCAGTAAAATTACATGCCATTTGTCCCTTCTGGCACACCATACTTCATCTTCCTGCTTCCCTGTGCTTTAGAATGGCACATCTCACTTTAAAACTATCCACATGGCTCTGTTGGCAGGTCAAAGTTAATGTGCACTTTGTGTCAAATATCACTGTAGTTCTCTGAGTTTGAGCTACCACCTACAAGCTTAATATACAGGTGTAGCTCATCTGAGTGATGTCAGTTGGCCACCGCATCACAAAAAAACTGGCAGAGCACTATTTTGGAAATGCCACAGACCTGAGGATGAAGTGAATGATCGCGCTTGCTGAATATGTGGCAACTGACTATGGGCCGGTCAACACTGTGATTGACATGAACACACCTTGTGATACACTTAATTATATTATATTCATACTGTATTTTTCAGGCGGACCGGCACAACCGGCACTGGCACCTTACAATCCGGCACACTGGATTGTAAGGCGCATTAAGCATTGGGGCATTGACTGATTGTTGCAATCGCGTACTGCAGGCCCGGGCTGCCTTACATGAATGCACCTCTAGTTTAGACATTACAGTCAGGCAGGCTTGTAGACTGCTCAGGGGTCCTGTTACGGGGCTGATCAGGCAGTGACACAGCGAACTGTAATGCTCTGAATATCCATTGAGCGGAGCGGCTTCGTCGCTTACCAAAGTCGTACTTACACATTTTGACAGATTTTTGAACACATTGTACCACATAAATTCGATTAGTAAGCATAAGACACAACATTAGGCGCGCTGTATTATAAGGTGCACTGTCAATTTTGGGAAAATTTAAGGATTTGAAGTGCGCCTTATAGTCCGAAAAATATGGTAATTCTAAGTTGAATCTTTATTGTGTAACATCATCTATTTAAAATTCATGTTGCTCTTTTTTTTAAAATAGATTTATGCATTTTATTCACTGTGTTCATTAGTTTTGCACCAAACACCTACAAAAACATCGACTGCATTAACTTACACACTGTTTAATTCATTGTGAAGGCACTGTAGTGAATGAATGAAGGTTAACTTAGAGCTACGTTTCAGTGATCTCCTAGGCTAACCTGACCGACTCTGAGTGTCATCCTTTGTATCCACCTGATTTAACCACGCAGCAACCCGCTGTGACCCCCATTGGCAATGTCAACATTGGAATCTGAAGAAGCCCAAACCAACAAGACACGTTTCCATAAATCAAACAGTTAGGGCTTGAACATGAAATCTAAGCAGTGTACCGCAGTTAAAAAGACATCGGTCACACTTCTATGCTGTTATCTTTGGCAGTACATTGGGAACTTATTGGAGTAACCACCCCTTAACAACTGCAGCCCAAAATAGACTGTGGACTTTCACGGTCGGCCCGTTTTGAAGAGGTGTCAAACACGCTGTGCCAGGAGCCTGCGCTGTTATGTGTGTGTGTGTGTGTGTGTGTGTGTGGTTCAAGGGGGGGTTTGTGGTGTATCATTCTCCACATTTCGTGTCAGGGACAGTTGGGACAGTGGCAGGGAATGGAGCAAAAGTCCAGCCAGGGGACAGCTTGTGATCTCAGACCGCATACTGTTCAGGGAACAGAGCACACATACAGAGATAGAAACACCGGCTTATTTGCATTCAGACACTCAGTTAAACTGCTTAGAAAGGATGTAAACAAACTCCACTGTCCCTTAACTCATCAAGTAGGACTCCTTTAGATGTGACAGCTATGTTTTTTAACTGTAGAACCACGTCAAAGTCTGTTTACTCATTTGCTCCTGTCTGTCACATGGACCTGCAGCCTCAATAAAAGCCCCAGTGCAAGAAAAACAGGAGGTGTTTGGCTTTCTGTCTGAGCCGCGAATCATTTCAACAGTTGACTTACTTGAACTAACGATGGCTGGTTCAAACTTCCAGACAGCTCATTGTTTGATGGGGACGATTGAAAGAGGGGGCCTCTGTGTGTGACAGCTGCACGCAGCTGCTACACGTTACTTAAGACAGCGTTGATAAACCTGCTTTTTAAAAAACACAGGAGGAGGATGTATGAGGGGAAGATAAAAAAAATACACTTCCAGGATTTAGAGCTGACATTAATTAACTCGAACTGGGATGTGCACATATTTGTTTGGATGCTTTTCTGCCCTGTTAAAGGCCAATAAGGGTTGTGAGGGGGTGGGTGCAGGAAGTGCAGCTGCAGCCCCAGCTTTCTGATCCTAGCCGAGCGGCAAACTTTCCCCTGTCAGATTAAGTAGGATTAGCCGGGTCCTGCTGTATGATGAACTGAGCACTTCATATGGTGACTTGAAACTTTCCAAAGATGGAAAGAAAAAAAAAACCCTGGTCAGGGAAATGTTTTTTTTTTTTTTTTGCTTTGAAACCTCCATGTTCTCACAGCTTGATTCAAAACCTCTACATCTTCTTAGCATGGCACGAAAACTGCAAGCTTGTTCAATCTGTAACTGTGCAAAACACAAAAACAAGCCCCTTTCCATATAGGAAGTCACACACAGCTTTTGCTCAGAGCGCCGTCTCTCGTCAGGGATGGCGTTGAGTTCCATTGTGTTTTAAAATCACACACACGCTCACACGAGCACATGCATACTCTCTCATTGGTATTTTTATCCATCCCCAGAGCCGCTCTGTGGCTGCAAGCCATATCACTCTCAGACGACAGAGGAGCCACGGTCACACCAGCAAGTACTTAAGGCCCCCCTCTTTTGCTTTCCTTATGTGTGTGTGTCTGTTGGGGTGGTCCACAGAGGTAGAATGTGTGGTGATATAAAGAGAGTCTGAAAAAAGGTGGCGGTGGTAGGGAAGAGGTCAAACGTGGAAAGAATTTGGTCTGTTATCAACTGTTGCCTGCACGACCACTGAAGAAGCACACACAGGACACAGACCCTGAAAACGTGACTACATGACAGGGCCATACACACACATGTACACACACAATCACACACACACACAGTGAAGGCTTCTCAGACAGGGTTTTTCCTCCTGAGGCGAGGCTAAAGCATCCAATCTCAGTCTTTCTTGTCTATCTCTGGCACTGATAAAGGCTTATAATGAACTGGGGACTGGAACTCAGTCCCAAGACCGATGGCTTTATGGCCCTGGCCAGATCATCACCCTCTGTGGACTTCGTTTGTCACCGGGTGAGAACAGAAAAGAGAGTGTCAGATAGAAAAAAAGAGGTGAGTGAAAGAAAGAAAAAAGGGGAAAGCAAAGATTAAAGTTTTACACTTCAACCTTTGAGAAGCGTTTTGCAATAGAGCCGCCGTGTCCAGAGTTTACTACCAGACTGTTCTGTCAGATCTGTGCCGCATTACTGAGTCTACACAGGAATAAACGCTCAAAGTTTTGATAAGGAAGCCTACTGTGGCGGCCAGGATCCAAACAAGGGAACAAAGGTCCTCTTGGGCTTATCATTTCTTCTTCTTATCTCTTTTTTTTTGTACTTCGGAGCAATGTAAAAGCGTGTTTGTAAACCGGTAACTGTCGTACATTTTGTTTGGCTCGCATTCAAGAGCCTAGATAGTGTGTTGTGTGTATGTGCGTGTTTGCTGGGTGATTATTCCAGCTCACGCCTGGACCCCTGGGAGATCATATAATGAAATCACTGTGGATGCAAAGATGTTCCCATACCACCAGAGAAAGCACAATGAAGGAAGAAACGTAAATAAAAAGGCACGTCTTACCTCGAAAAGATTGGACGCCTCGTTGCCATACTGAGTGGAAATGATCTCTGATTGGTCACTGTACCATTTGAGGCCACCCAGGAAGCTGTCTGCGTCTAAGTCACTGACATCCAGCTCTGAGAGGTCAAGTTCAGGGAGGTCTGGACAGAGGGGTTGGTCTTCACCAACCAAGGCAGCACACTGGAGAGAGAACACAGAAAATAATTTCTTTTAAATATGCAAATCAGAGGCTGAATTCTTTGTGCCAAGTTTGGAAACAATGGTGGAATCAGAATCTGGACTGGGGTCAAAAATCTCACCAAAACAAAGTAATCACTCATTTGAAAAGCATATCATCATCAACTCATTTCAATCATGACCTGAGCTCCAGTACCTTCATTTCTGTATTCTAAGTATGTCACCCACTCTCATGTGACATGCAAACCTTTCACCTGTTTCCCCCTCACTCCTATCCAGCCCTGCAGAACACAGCGTCCTCCCCCCCCATCCCTCCCTGAGCTCTGCGATTGGCTCTGGCCTCCACGCTACTAACTGATGCCTGTTGACATTCTGTTATTCACCAGCCACTTTTATGTAATCTAGACAATGTGTGCTGTATGTGGCAGCTGCTCCTCCTGCTTCCTCGCCACCACAAATCAGCTGCTCTGCTCTGCTCTGACTGCAAGTGAGCAGCAGTGGAAGTGGAATTCAGCTGGGGGATTTTGTGGTTTTAAAGGCAGGGTGTTTGAAGGAGGAGACAACAGGTTTACAAAACTGATTTTGCAGTCAAGATAAGCATTAGTGGAACTAATATTTCTCTCGCCTTTCATTATGGATGGTGCTAATTTCAGTATGCAACCCCTCAAGGCAGAAAACCAACAGTCAGCAGACCTTTCTCTGTGCCAAGTGCAAACTTTGAGATTCATTTAAAGGCAAAAGCACACCAGACTCCTGGCGTGTTTACACTCTGCCACTGCCCACATGTAACCCAAGCTTAAGAAAATAGCTTTGCTTCCACTCTCTAATAGAATACACACTCCTAATATTGTTGACAACACGTCTGCAGATGTGTAATCTCTACAGGATGGCCTAAAGACAGATATATTATAGATATCCTCGGGCGCAGCCAGGGGGTATTTGGCCCGCAGAGCGAGGGGGGATGAGAGTCGGGTTCGGCTCAGGGCAAAGCAGGGAGACGGATGCTGTGCCAAGGAGGGAAAAAAACCGCCCAGACACCGGTGTCACAGTTCATCCGTCGTCGGATTCGCACCAACACGAACACACGATGACTTCGACTATGATGAGACAAATCCGTTATGTTGCGAAGAGGACAGATTCACTGCGTCTTAGGCTTCCCCCCTGCGATGATCCACTCTGACATGGCACGAAATGAGAAAAAGAAATGTAGCAAAGATGTTGGCTATTCAAACTGGACGTCCTATGTCCAATTATCTTATGGACTTCTTGGTGAAGTAATGAAATAGCGCCGCCAGACAGACAATCAGTGCGCACAAAAGCACTCCGGTGATTTACGCACGCTTCGCACATAAAAGCACCTGCAAGGGGAGGAAAATCAAAGCCATCCTGCATGCCAGTACTCTCACTGAATAAGTACGTGGTATTGAGTCTACATGCATCATGGAATTGATCATAACGAGCTCTTAAAAACGCGCATATTATGTTGTGGGATTGGCAGAAAACGGTGATGAAGACTCCCTCCTGAAGCCTACCTGGCTCAAGTGAGAAAATATCATTAAAGTACAAATACGCGCGAAGAAACCCCCGAATCGGACCGAAATAGCACATCTTATCTTCTCTTTTCTGTCTGTATTCTTATCACACAGCCTGGATAAGCAGATGTATGCAGCTAGACTTCAACCACATCATGTTAAACCCTTTCTGAAGCATCCCTGAGCTCCTGTGCGCAGCCAGGTAGACCTAATGAGCATGACAAGCTGGACGGACTCGGTAAATTAGGAAAAAGGTGACGAATAAGTATCCCTTTGATGTGCCCTGTTATCTAAATGCACTTTAATCACAACGGTGAGGGTTGCCAACGAGATTTAAACGATGCATGAAGCGAATTGGAGCTAATTATACGCGTTGATGGATGAAAATAAGCAGGAGATGAAATTTGCACAAATATGGAAAGATGAAGTGTGGTGGATGCTCTCCAGCCAGGGCTACGCTCCTCCGGCCGGGATGTTGGCACTCAGACGTGCCCGGCACTGTTACTATTATGATGCTCCTGCCTGCGCAATGCCAGATTAGCGGTCCCTCTATGTAGACAACCTTTGCTCCTGAAAATAACATGCGCTATCCGGACGCAGCACATCAAAGGGATTGTTATCGTCGGCGGATTTCATGCGTCAGCGAAATACCTGACTTTGAGACATTTCGGTCATTTTGGCATGAAAAGCTTCTCGGGCAGCGGAGCGCGTGCAGTCCGATATCCGACTGAGGGATCCTATGAGGAGAGCAATACAACGACTACATCTTTAAATGAGAAGAAAAGGGAGAATCCGCACAATTCCTCCACTTGTTTCATAGATTCCCGTCTTGTAGATCCCCCGCATCCTCAAACTGTGTCCAGACGCGCACTACACCGGCATGCACCGCCAGCAGCAGCAGCACCACCACCACCACCAGGGAAGAAGAGTATATGTGCAAATCACTGCCACGGATAGTCAGCGTTGTCCATCCTTCCAAGGTAAAAAAGAAACTCCAGAGGGCTAGAGAGATGGAACAAGTCGGGTTTTTATACATGCGCTCACCTCTAATTCTCTCCACACCGAGTCCTGGTTACACCTGTCCCACGCCATCCAGCCACTGAATGACGGCCCCGGAAAAATTATTAAAAAAAAAAAGAAAAAAAAAAGAAAAAAGAAAGAAATCAAGTAAAAAAGAAATCCACACACGCTTCCCACTCGCTCACACACAGGCAACTGCTGCCCCTCGCCGAGAATGAACCGAGGGCACCTGTCTTACAACTGCTTTCCATCACATGACAAAGCTATTAAAAGTAGGCAGGGGAGTGACTCCGCGTCCACACTACTCGCCAGTGACGCGCGGGGAGCAGGCGGGGTCTGGCTGCGCACATAGTAAAAGCCTCTCCGTGCACTGCAAAAAATGTCCATCTGAAAAGCATATCATGAGCTGTCGGTACAGTAGACCGTTTCTATGTGTGTTAAAAAAAGTAAGCGTTAAAACAGTTTAGGTGGAGACGACAGTTTATGCAGTCTGAATACACACCAAGGCTGATCGTCAGGGCAATTCAAATCCCTTATTGAAAAAGTATATATTTAGGGAGTACTCTAGAACTAGAGCACATTTTCTTACAAGCTTTATTGCAAATTATTTAGGAGACAAAATGAAGATATTCGGCGTATTTCTGGAGGCTGGAGCGTAAATCTTTTCACTGATTTAGGTTAATAATGTTCCGTGGTTGAAAATCAATAAACTAGAGAAATACACCATTTGTGTAGGTAAGACTGCAGGTGTATCAAAGCATGTAAGATTAAACAGTATGAGTTGAAATGGTGGTGTTAAAAGCCTAAATTCTCAAGCAGAATGACCGCAAAATCAGTTTAAAACCCCATTTGGTGAAGTTCCTTTTTTAAAGAACAATATAGGTACCTGACAAAACTAGTGCGCACATTGTTTAACTTTATTGCCAAGTCTTTAAGAAACAATTTGTCGGGATTCGGCGTACTTTTTGTTGCAGTTGGACCGCAAATCTTTTGACTAAACTAGATTAACTGGGTATTGCAGTTTGGAAATGGGGGACCAGTTGGCAGGGTTGTTAGACGGAGTCAATGTTCGTCATTACAAACCGAGCGTCATCACTCATCTGACATTGTTCTCTTTAGTGTGGGTGTTCGGGAAAAGTGTGCATCTGATCTACAGCCCTCCAAAAAGTGTCAGAAAATGAGGCTGAGGTGGTAAAAAAAGGGGAGGAATGCGCACCAACCGAAAGACATTTTCCTGGAATGTAAAAACAGGCAAAACAAACATATCTTAACACAGACTTCTAATTCAATTAAGTGATTTTAAGTAAGGGATTACATTTACTTTTCATGCTTTTAAGTTTCACACTTATTACCATAATAGACATGGTATTGCGCAATAAAATCATCTCCCCTTTCCACGACAGTCAGATTATCGTCTCCTCTAATCTCGCTTTAACTGCCGTGACCTTAAATGCCCATGTCGACGTATATAGAGTATCAAAGAAGGTAATTTAGTCCTTTTGGATGTATTTCTTTGTCCATTGAGAGGCAATAAAAAGGACAGGTGGCAGTATCAAGCATGTATATAGTGTCAACAGGACGTGTATAGGCAACACTACCTGGGGAAAATAAAAACAGAGGCTTTGTGGACATGTCAAACAAAGTGGGGTTTCAGTTGGGAGGACTGGCAGCAGGAATTCTCTGCATTATCTTCCCCTGAATCACATTTTTAACTGAAACCTCATTTTATATGCAAATTCTGAAAGACGTGTCAGATCTTGTCTGACAATCACAATCAGTCCCCTGCAAAAACAGTTTTTTAGTCAACAGTTTTCCTTTAATTTTTCAGAAACAGAGTCAACTTTTTTTTTTTGACGATAAATTTCTGTAATAAGAAGCTAAACCCGCTCCAATTTCTGGCCTTGTAAGCTATTAAGTCCACCTGAGCATGCAAGAAGCAATTGTCTTCCTAAATTAGTGATCCACACACAGCAAGTCTCATTAAATACAAAATTGCACAGAAACCGGTGTAAAAAGGTTCAGGGACTTTACACATAAACTGCACAGATTGAGTGTGTGTGTGTTCACATGTGAGTATGTGCCCTGTGTGTGCAGTTTAACACATTGTATATGTGTCTCTGTTATGCTTATGGGTATCTAAGGGCGTTTGTTCCACTAAATCTATACATCTGCCTCTCGGAGCGTGCCCAGTGATGCTACCCAGAAGCCACGGCGAAACCTGATCGGAGCAGGTGGCGTGTGCAGTGACCTCACAGAGCCCAGATGGACCAGTACCACGGAGACCGTAATGTAGGGGGCAACATGGGAATGACAGAGTTCGACGGTTGCTGGCTTTGTTGCTGTAGAGAAGGAGAAAAAAACAACACACTTGGAAGGCTGACTCTTAAGTGTTGTTAGCGTAACATCTCAGGCTCATGTTGTGTCCGACAGATGAACGTTCTCTAAAATTTGAGTAAAATTAACAGAATGAACACAGACTTGCCAAAAAAAGGAAGAAAAAGACAGATTTTTCTTTCTTGGCAGGAGATATGTGCTGGTAAATGTTATTTCTCCCTCTCCTGAAGCAGCATGTGAGTCACAGTCAAAAGGCTTATCTGATTGTACTCTTCATGCCAATTAAGACAACGCAAGCTAAATATAGATATAATATTATGATTTCCTCTCTTGAATGGCCTTTGATTCTACCCCCTCCCTGTAAATGCATTCTTTGCTAGAGGCTGGGTATTTATGTATGCAGCAAGAGAGATTCGTAGATATAGGAATCATTTCGAAAAGGAAAAACAGAGGGGCTCTACATCTTTAGATACAGGTAATCTTTGAAATGCCTCTGTTTCAGTTGCAGAGAGTCGCTAATGAAGAGGTAAGTAAGGGTATGTTGGTGCAGAGAAAGAAAAACAGACGATATTTCAGCCCGCATCACTTCGTTTTAGATCATTTTGCTCCTAAGAAATGACCTGGGGTGTTTCTTTCACACTACCCCTGCATTTAGCCGCTCTTATAGATATCACATCTCCAGGGGGTTGAATCTATAGGATAGAGTGTGAAAAGTTGTTCACACCCATTGATGCATAGCATGTTGTCAGATGATGGACCTGACTTCCTTGAAACGCTCTCTGAGGCTTTGAGGAGAACCCGCAAAGCAAAGCGCTGCACACCAATCCACTTCAAAGGGAATTGTTAAAACCTGAATTAATTAAAAGTGACTGTTGGTTAATTGCTAAATAGCTCACAAGTCTAAAATAATGCAATGTGACAACTTTTCTGTATGCATTGAGAACAAAACCACTCCTCAGTGGAGGAAATCTACAGCCAGACTTTGTTGAAATGAAGGTTTTAATGAAGCTTATTCAAACGAAGCCAAAAAAAAGGACTAGATCATGACACGATTTCTCAAGAAGTCAGCTGATGAGTGCGGCTCTTGAAGCCAAAAGAGGCCAATCCACAGATAATTATCTTAGTTTGAATATTCAACATGGCCTGACTCGTGGAAAGAATCACCAATTTACATTTCCAGACAACTGATAGTGACATTTCTTTAAAAGATATAGAAGCTGGATGTGTATTGATCCTGTGGTGAAAATCATGCTTGTTTTGGTTAAATTTAATCCACCCAGACAGCCTTTTTTTAACAGTGTCGTTTTTGACAGTCCATCCATACTCGAGTGGCCACGTCTTGTTTTCCTTTTTCCATAAATTGTGTCAGTGGCCCTCGGAGAGTGCGCCGCACAGTGTGGGGGGATGATTCATATCACTTTGTTGCATGTCATTGCTCCCAACAGAATCTATCCTAGCATCTGGCCAGTTTAATACATGGTGGCTGGATTCATATGAATTAATTGAGGGCAGAGGTAAAATGGAGCGCTACATCTATTCATTTATTGTTCCCGACTGTTAAAAGACAGCTCACGCTTTGTTCTCCCTGCCTGTCAGCGGATAGGGCTTCAGTAGTTTGGCGCTTGGGGGATTTTTTGTCTTTGACAAGTCATATTGTTTTCTCCTTATTAGGGGACAGTGGAGGAAGTGGTCACATTTTATTAAAGTCAATCGCTCGGAAGCAACATTGAAAGTCGTGTCGTATAAATCTGGCAGCAGATAATGAAAGTAGAAGTGTTAATATGGAGCTCTAAATTGGTGGTAAAACCTCAGAAGAACCTTTAAAGAACCTACACTATCACATATACAACTGTCATTTGCAAGAGGTCAACTTTTACAAATGTATCCACAATTACGCATTTCAAGAATTCAGCTCTGCAGCATGTTCAACCTATGGTAGTTTGGTGCGGGTACCATACCTAGACCTATAAAATCGTCTATTGGACCTATATCAAAAACTCAACAGGAAGTCTGACATTTTAAAACTCAGTGTACAGCTGGATAACAACTGAAGGTGATAATTAATCAAAATATGGCAAAGCTCAAATGGTCAAATTCAAACTTACTCCTCATAGGTAGTTTATCTGGTTCACCTCAAATAAGGCAGAGAGCCAGAAAAGACTTGGATAAAGAAAAGAAACTCAAATGTATAGGGTCAGACCATCTCAGACTTTACAAGCTTGATAAGTCTTTTTCTTGATGTGATGATTCAGAAACACTTTGACTGCTCTTTATCTGATAAACACACACCTGCACCTGCACCACACCCCAACATGCACTATGCCTGAACGTGTGCAGGGCTGCAGCAGCAGGTCATTGCTGCTTGCAGCCTTGGTCAACTTAAACTATTTAGTTGACTACTCCTTTAGTAAAGTTGAGTGTTTGCTAACACATCTTGACTTAAACAGAAAGCTCAGACTTGACCTTTTATCAGGTGTCTTAAGATAATGTTTGATAAAAAAATTGTAACTTAAATGTAACGTATGATCATCTAGAGGTGGTATACCTAAAAAAAAGCATGTTTTTATAATGCAGGAAATAAAACAACCTTATCAGGAATCAGGACTTTTCCATAAATGCTGTGATCATATCTTAAATATAAACTTCATCTACCTCTATTCATAGTCAGGCTACATATTTTGGTTGTGATCACTGACACACTTCCCTTTTTTATTCTTAAAACTTTGTCTTACTATAAATGATATTCCATTTCCTCATCTTGGACTGTCATTTCCACAGTGAGATTATCTCACAATCCACCGTTTACTCGCCTCCATAGCTTTCAAAGCTTATATGCGACATGATAAACAGTGTGACGCCACAAATTATGGCGGCCCTCGCCCTCAGACGTACAGTAAGCCAGCGTATTCTCCCCCTGTGAAGATTTTTGCATTC